CCCTTCACTACCCAAGGGAGTCTCAGAGCAGCTCGCAAACCCCTTTCCCTTCCCACAATAGACACCCCCCTTTGAGGTAGGTGGGGCTGAGAGAGCTCTGACAGAAACTGCTCTTTTTCAAGAAGGAGGAGGAGTTTGGATTTATATCCCACCCTTCACTACCCAAGGGAGTCTCAGAGCGGCTCGCAAACTCCTTCCCCTTCCCACAATAGACACCCCCTGTGAGGTAGGTGGGGCTGAGAGAGCTCTGACAGAAACTGCTCTTTTTCAAGGACAGCTCTTGTCAGAACTATGGCTTGCCCAAGGTCATCCAGCCAGGTGCAAGTGGGGGAAATCTAACCCGGTTCTCCCAGATTAGAAGAAGAGGAGGAGATTGGATTCATACCCCTGCCCTTCACTACCCAAGGGAGTCTCAGAGCAGCTCGCAAACCCCTTTCCCTTCCCACAATAGACACCCCCCTTTGAGGTAGGTGGGGCTGAGAGAGCTCTGACAGAAACTGCCCTTTTTCAAGAACAGCTCTTGTCAGAACGATGGCTTGCCCAAGGTCACACCAGCAGCTGCAAGTGGAGGAGTGGGGAATCAAACCCGGTTCTCACAGATTAGAAGAGGAGGAGGAGATTGGAGTTATACCCCCCCCTTCACTACCCAAGGGAGTCTCAGAGCGGCTCACAAACTCCTTCCCCTCCCCACAACAGACATCCTGTGAGGTAGGTGGGGCCAAGAGAGCTCTGACAGAAACTGCTCTTTTTCCAAGGACAGCTCTGACAGAACTACGGCTTGCCCAAGGTCATCCAGCCAGGTGCAAGTGGAGGAGTGGGGAATCAAACCCGGTTTTCCCAGATTAGAGTCCGCGCACTACACCAGACTGGGAGACAGGATGCTGGACTTGATAGACCAGTGGTCTCATCCCACAGGCCTCTTCTGGTGTCCTTGGGGAGAGGGGGTGGCCAAAGGCTGGAATGTAGTCTCTGTGTTCGTAGTTGGTGCGCAGCTGTGCCCTTTCACACTTTATTGTGTACTGAAAAACAGTGGGTGCTGCAGAGAACGGGGTGCTGCTCTAGATGGGCTGTCGGCCTGATCCGGAGGGGCCCCTGCATTGTTGAGGAGAGGGTGCTGGGCAGAATGGGCCAGCAGAGGCTGGGCAGAAATCTTCTTCACTTAGGGAAAGGTGGGGGAACAAGTGGGTTTTGCACGCGAAAGGGCCCAGGCTCCTCCCTGACATGTGCACCTAAGAGGTTTCCGTGGAGAAGATTTACAGTGTACTTTAGTTCTTGAAAGCAATTTACACATACTTTCTTGAAGAAATTGTGGAAGCCTGACACAAATTGAGTGCTAAAAATAAGATTTAGCTTTCACAGTTATCTGAGGGGGAGATGTAAGGTGAGAAATTAGGACTTATATCAGTCTGCGATCAGGGGTTTGAATGCAGCCTTTGGCTGTCTTGCATCACAGCAGCTATGTGGTTTAAAGGCTCACCAAGTAAGGCCCTGTTGACTGTGGCACATCACCCACATTTTAGCCAGTTGTTTCCTTTAAAAGAAATAAATTGTTGCCATTCATTTGGCACTATTATAGACTCTTTAACCCTGGGTCTAGTGTTCCTGTTGTGTGTTAAAAGCCTTTATTGACATCTCACTTTAAATGGAGTATAAATGGAAATAAGACAGCCACCTTGATCTGCTATATCCTTTAATTTTTGCCCTTTCTAGTCTCTCTTGATCAGATGCTCTGCGTCATGTGACCCTCCACCCTTTCAGGATATCTACTGAACAGCAAACGAGGGCTTTGTGTGTGTGTGTTCATTTGCTTGGGCACTGTGTTCTCTCATATCTGTGGCCTTGCATATAGTAGCTGCTCTTCATAAGGGTAGCAGAGGTGACATTGAAAGCACAACTTCCCCTGTTCCTGGATATTTGGGCTGGTTTCCCAAACCATTCTTTGCCATATTGCACTATGGATTAGGAGATACCATACCTGCCAGTCACCTTCTTCCTTTATCTCAAGTGACTGATTGCTCCAAGCCCCACTCAGTGAAGGGTGAACAGAGTGAAGCCATGTCCACGGATGCCATGATCTCAGTCCCTGAGAATGGGACCTTTCTTTGTCAGTGCAGTGAGGCCTGGGACTGGCCCCTGTCCTGTTATTCAGCCCTGCTTTCAGTATTCTGTTATTTTAGAATCAACAGCTAATTGTTGGGTGAACAGTTATGACCATTCACAGTGGGATGCCGATGACCAATGTAAACCCAGTGGCTGGGGCCATTTTTATTTAAGGCCTTGCAGAAAGTGGGATCCACGGTAAGGCATGGGTAATACTAAGCTGGGCTTGATTGGGTAACGACCTTCCCATTTTCTGTTTCAGTGTTTGCCGAAACATAGTCAGTGGCACCCGTGGAGCAAGAAGGAAGCCGCCGTTGCAGAAACTGCACCTTGGTTCCCGAAGTATTCATCATTCCTACTACCCAGTTTCCAAGTTTCAAAGGCTTTCATTACGGACATCAGTTCAGCAGTTCTCCACCTTCAATCGCCTTCCCTTGCACAAGTCCAAACTACACCTAAAGAATGGCTTCCCACCTCACAGGAACTTTTGGCTAGCTAGAGTGGCTTCAAGGCTTCTAAAACTTCGCTACATCGTCTTGGGATCTGCTGTAGGCGGTGGCTACACAGCCAAAAAGGTACTTGGGTTTGCAGTAGCAACTACTCTGCCTAGAGATCTTAAGGCCTTTGGGTAATGAAAAGAATTTGAAGAAAATACATTTTTGAGACCTTTTTGAGCTTTTCCAGTGGAAAAGTTGGGATATATGTAGTAACATTTAGAGTGAGAAAAACCTCATTTTAAAAAGCATTCCACTCATTCCAAGTGATTTTTTCCAATGAAAAATTCAAGAAATGTTGGGAAGCACAAAACAACCCTTTCAAACCCCCCCCCCCCCCGGAATCAGTGACATGAAAGACAAGGTTCTACTACAAATGTATAATATGAAAAATTTTATGTAAGATGATCTACAGCATTAGGTAATGGTAATTTCCATGTATACCGTAGACATATTCTACATTTTCAAGGGTTGCTTTATTTAACTGTAAATGGTTTTGCCAAGAATTAATATGTTGTAATGTAGTTATTGATAACATATTAAAGTGTTCAGCACTTTCAATGTTATTAAGTTTAGCTTGAAATCCAAATGTGCTGGTAGTCCTGCCTGTTGTGACTGCATGACGGCTTCTGTATGAATAATATATTTTCTTTACTACCAAACTTGTTTTCTGCTTTCAACTTTTATTGTTTCCTACCTCTCACATGGTAAAAAGTCATGATCCATGTGCCATGGTAGTACAGGATGCAGCAGTTTGCAACTTTCTCGAGTGCTTTTACATTTTAAAAAATATGCCAAATAATAAAATTTTGTGTGCTAAGTTAATTCAGTAAAAGAAGTTTAGGTTTGATAGGAAAGTAACTGTGGCATGTGTTGCTTCTTTTTCAGGGGGGGCTTTCCCCCCCGTGGCTTTCAAAGTTTGTGGAGATTTTGAATCTCTTCTGTTTTGCCATCTCTCCTGTGTGTTGTCCCTACCTTGAAGCGGTCACCATTTGAAAGATGGTGTTTTGAGTGGGGAGAGCAAGTTTGTGTGCCTAGGAGCAACTAGTGGCTGGGGGAGGCAGTGCGGAAAGCTGTTGCTTTCTTGCCCCATGTCTGGCCTTCCCAGCGACACTCGACTGGCCCATTGTCAGAAGCAACAAACTGGGTTGGCAGCACCCACCTGGCACTGGTTAGGCTGGGCCGCTGTAGCAGTTTACGTCGTTGATCCAGGGAGTGGGTTGCCACCTTAGGAAGAGGGCCTTACCCAAAGGAAGAGCAATGCCAGGCCTTTGTAACGTGAGTTCAGCTTGATGGGATGGGAGGGGGCTTTGGGTTTGGGGAGATTCCAGCCTTTGCCCTGCTATTGAGCTCTGCTTTGGCATTCCCAAGGCCCCCCCCCCTCCCATTCCCTTGCCCCTCACTTGCTTCTGCTTTTCTCCACCCCCCTTCAGTGCCCCCGTCACCTCACTCTGCCATCAGAGGAAAGAGCTTTTCAGGGTGGAGCGGGTGAGCAGGGTTTCCCTCTTGGTTCAGATGGCAACACTGCCCCAGGGGAACTGAAGTAGCAGCTTGAGGCCCCTGCTGCTGTCCCGAAAGCTTTCCCTTCCTTCCCTGGTGGCAGAGCATACACGTGGGGACAAGGGAAGGTGCTGGGTCTCTCCTTTCCCAGTGGCAGTGCTGCCGCTGGCTCGTTCAACATCCTGGTCCATGCAGGAGGGGCTTCTCCTGATGGTCCTGGGCCATGCTTCTCATAACACGGGCACTTCTGAGAGTGATGTCGAGGGGGACAGACAGGGAAACAGTGTTTCCCCCATGCTACAGTGCAACAAAAATGCAAATGTTTGTATCTTCCTCAAAACAGGAAAGTTTGAGGCATAAATGGCAGTTAAATGGATTAGCTAAAAACATGGGGAGAGAACCGTCAGCAGCTATAAGTTGTGAAGGCCAGAAGGGTAGTCTCCAGACACAATGGACCTATGGCTGCCACGTGCTGAAGATTAGCAGGGTGTGTGTGTGTGTGTGTGTGTGTGATTAATGGCCATCTGTCTTGCTTGGGAACTCTCCCCCTGTGGTCCAGACACAACCGGTGGGTGTAAGGCAGTACTAGGTTAGGCTGCTGTTTCCCACCACAGTGGGAGCTCCTGTGTAAGGATGCACTCAAGTATCAGATGTGTAAACTGCCTTGGCCGCCTGTTACTGCAAATGGTGTGAAGAGGACAGATTGGGAAAAGTTATTTGGCTTCTCAAAATGTAGAAATTTCAAGGCTAACCCCTGAAGCGGGTCAGCAGTGGAATCAGCTGCCTGGGGAGGTGGTGAGCTCCCCCTCACTGGCAGTCCTCAGGCAGCAGCTGGACAAACACTTGTCAGGGGTGCTCTAGGCTGATCCTGCATTGAGCCGGGGGCTAGACTAGATGGCCTCTGTGGCCCCTTCCAACTCTTATTTTTCTATGAAGCTGCTGCGTGCCATATGCAAACTGTGTTGGTCTCCATGAGATCAGCTCTGACCCTGGAAGCCCTGTGGGATCTCAAGTTCAGGATCTTTGGTAGCAGTTTTGGATGCAGGTTCCTGTACCGCTTGTCAAGTAGTCCTGAGAAGGACTGTTTGTTTGTTTGTTTGATTGATTGATTGATTGATTGATTCCATGGGTGTAGTGTAGCCAGGAGCTCTTATGATTGTCTGCCAGCCAGAAGTTCTAGCTCTTTAGCATTAACCAGGATGCACCCTGAGGAGGTGGGCTAGAATTGCACCCCAAGGGCCTTTGATGCCAGGCTCTGATGGTGTCTGTGCTTCTTTCATCTCGGTTTTGTGCATGTGATTCCTGGTCTGAAAGATAACTTGAAAAAATGAATAGGTGACATAACTCATTACATTTCATGCGGGCATAACTCTGATCAGAAGCTTGAATTGTGCAGGTGTTCTGTGACAAAGCCCCAGGGCGGTGGAGAGAGCAGTCGTGTGCACCGTAGACTTTCAGGTTTTTCCTTCTATGTTGTGAACTTTACTGATGCTTTCCTGGCTTTTCTCTTAGACGTATGATCAGTGGAAGGACATGTTGCCTGACCTCAGCGAGTACAAGTGGATTGTGCCTGACTTCATCTGGGAACTTGACGAATACATTGACTTTGGTGGGTTCTGGATTCTTATTTCCGTTCTGATGCTGAGGTGTGACACCCACGGGGACCCAGAGTGGCTTACATTGTTCTCCTCCACCATTTTATCCTCACAGTAACCCTGTGAGGTAGGCTGGCCGAAGGTGACCCAGCAAGCTTCCACTGCAGAGTGGGGATTCGAACCTAGAGTTCAACACTTTAGTCACTCCAGCCTGCTCACTTTCAAAATATGGATGGGCCTGTATTGTAGCCATTCTTTTTCTATGAAGGATTTTAAATGCCTTTCAGGAGGCAGATTTTGGGTCTCTGTCTTCCTTTTGTACAAGGCCAAATGTGTGCACGGGGCGTGCATACGTGTTCACAATGGCCTTTTGGGGTGATGACAAACTTCAAGTGAAAGGTTCAGTCCTTATTTGTGTTTATACTTCAAAAAAGTTTTTTGCCTCACCTTCCCTAAGTTCAAATGATGTCAGGAAAAATAAAATAATAAAAAGAAGGAACTACAGTGTAAAAGTAACCAAAACAAAGAATGCTGAAGTATGCACTGTGAATATGAGACTGTAGTGGTTCATTTATATTACACACCTTGCCCAGGGGCAATACATTATGTGTTCTGTTGCAAGCCAAAAACTACATACTGAAATTCAAGTTGCAGAGAATCTTGCATGTAGATACAGGAATCTGGATATGTTCCTGTTTCATATTATGCTTCTTCACTAAGTGCTGTCCTTTATAGAGACATAATATGGCTCCAGCTGGAAAAGTTTCCCGGAATGTTCAGTCAGTCAGTTTGTAAAGCCAGGAATTCTCAGGGTTCCTGTGTGTTCATATGCTGTGTGATGATGTTAAAGGAACCCTCCGTGATGATGTGAAAGGAATAGCCTTAGCTCTTCCCCAGCCTTCTTCCTCTGCTTCCCAAGCTGCCAGGGTCCTCCCTGACTCCCACAGGCCTCTCCCTCCTGTGACCTTGCTGGCTTCCGTCAGCCTCCCGCTGGCCTCCCTCTCAAGTGGAAGCTCTGGGGAAGCAGCAACGTCCCACTCAGGACTCTTCCCGGGGTTTCCGGGGGTGCAGTCTCACCATCACCAAACCTTTAAAATTCTGTCTTATGTGTGAAGCGTCTGCAATCAAAATAAGGTGGCTCATTGCTCTCTGCTCTGAAACAAATCTAGGCTTTGGGGTAATAGTCAAAGATGGACATTTTCAGACGTGAGGACTGTGTTTGGGTTTGGACTCCCACGAGGCCTGAGTGGAGCCATGTGACTCTGTCCCTGAAGCCAGCTGCGATCCCTCAGCCTCATTCTCCCGTTTGTACAACGAGAGTCTCAGCAACTTACTCCTTGGGAAACGGGGCCATGCGTATGAAAGCCGGTATTGGCCCTTTAAATGCTGCCCTGATTCTAATGTGTGCATATGTTGGTGTGTTTTCTGTGTGGGGTATCATTTATGACTTTTTCATAAGACTGGTTGTGCAGTAGTAATATTTGAAACTGGATCTGCAAGAGCCCAAGTGGTGAAATGGGATCACTCATGTAACCACTTAAGAATGGGGGGGGGGGGAAGCCTCTTAAGTGACACAGTGACTGTTCCCTTAAAAAAAAAAAGAAAAGACAACCAGCTCTGTTGTGACATTTTTTCCCCCTCATTTCCCTAGACAAACTCAGCAAAGCTCTTCCTGAGTCGGAAGATCTTATGAAGCTGCTGCCTGACTTTGACAAGATTGGAGAGAGCTTTGGTTCCCTGAGGGATCTCTTCACACCTGGTGAGGGAACTTTTCAGCTCTGGTTATAAGGGAATGATAAGATTTGGAAAGCCTGGTTTGTAACTTCCCGTTCTCTTAAGTTTGACACGACAGGTAAGTGAGCAGCAGCCGTGCTTACAGGCAGTCGTCTGGCTCGGCCAGCAGCGGCAGGGGAGTTCTCATGTTGGTTTCCTTCATTTCAGTCAGCTGCTGACCTATTCCGTGGCTGCAGGGTACCCTTTCTGATGCTAACTGAATGCAGAGTCACACACTAATGCCCAGTCTCACCCTAAGCAGATGTGGGTGCTCATGCAGGCATGCGTGTCTCAGAAGGTGGCCAGTTGTGGGCAAAAGGGCTCCTGTGGTTCGAGAGAGGCTGTTGTGTGCAGCCAGGGCCCTGGGCTCCCCCCCCCCCCAGCGGCTCAGCCTGCCTTGCTGATGCTGTATCCCGCCAAGGGTGCCCAGGGCATGGAAGGAGCATGATGACAGAAACCTGCGAGGAGCCGAAAATCCAGCTCGCCATATAAACCTGCAGCTCTGTTTGATGTGACCTCTACAAGTGGCTCTTCACATGAGGGGAGTGGCAGGGGACTGTTGTTGCACTTGGACTAGAATGGGGGGGGCGCTTGGGAACGTCAAGTAGCGGAGACACACACACCCCAGCCTTGTGTTTAACAGTGAATTATTTTCCATCCACCTGTCTGTCCTCTGTTGCCATTCCGCATTTTGTAGCTTTGCCATCACGTCTCTTTGGCTCTTGTGATGCATGAGACCAAAAATGTCTCTCGTTTCCTTTGCCATTTGTTTCTATTTATAATTTTTCATTTCCCCTTTTTTGCTGGTTTTCCACAGGTTACAATTTGGTTAGTGAAGTCATAGGAGCTTCTGATCTACTTCTGTTGTTAGGTGTGTAAATTGCACTTTTTACTGCCCCTTAACACTCCTCCCCCTTTTAAAACAATTACCATTTTAAAATGCTGAAAAGAGAGGAGAGAGTTCATCTGTTAGGCAGGATGCTTTTTTGTATTTTCATCACTTTGGAAACCTTGTGGGATCTGTCAATGTAGACCCAAATCTGGCAGGTCAGATGGTTTTCAGTTTAAACAGAATTCCCAAGGGCAAGCATAAAATCATTGCTGCATGTATACCCTCTGCATTTTAAGGATGTCAGGCATATGTATAAAAAATTTTTTGTTGACATCCTTCTACAGACATTGTGTGCAATGTGATATCCCCTCACATACATACAATGTGTGTGTGTTTGTGTGTGTGTGTGAATAAAGTACAAAAGGGAGAGGATGATAAATGGAAAAGGTTTAAAAGTCTGTAGTTAAATGTTTGCTTCTGCCTTTTTCAGTAACAGTTTGTAAAATGAGCATCAGGGACCAAGGTGGCTGGTTTTTGCAACTTGTGGGTAGAATTCTTAGTAGACGTAACATTAACAGGAGAGGAATAAAAAACACAAGACTGTATGCATTGGACTGCAGATTAAAGTCAAGTGCTGTTTGTTTTAAGCCTGTAAATCCAGAAGACTTGTTAATTAAGACAAAGCCCTTCCCTGTGCTTAGGGTTGCCAAGCCTGGGTTGGGAAATAGCTGGAGACTTTGGGGGTGGATCCAGGAGAGGGCGGGGCCTGGGGAGGGGCCTCAGCATGGCACAGTGCCACAGAGTCCACCCTTCAAAGCAGCCATTTTCTCCAGGGGAGCTGATCTCTGTTAGCTGGAGATCAGTTGTAAGTGGGAGATTGCCAGGTCCCGCCTGGAGGCTGGCAACCCTACCTGTGCTTCTGTCCCATTCTAGGATGAACAAGAAAGAGTACCCAGGGTGGGGCTGACTAGAAACAGTCAAGCATAGTTCTGAGAGGCTCCTCCTTAGTTCTGCTGGACAGAGGCAGCCGCTCTCTGTGCAGAGATGGATTGTGTGTTGTCCCCCCCCCCCTTCGGGATCCTTCCCTCTGCACACTCCCGCCCCAGCTTCATGATGAGAATTTCCTTTACCACCTTGGGAAACCCCATGAATTGAGAGTGTGGGATGTAAACAGTTTCCACCAGCCGGCTAGGGATGTTTCCTAGGGTCCCTGAAGGTGGTCATACTGGCCTGGTTGTTCAGTGTATCATACATGATGTTGAGTTCCCACTTCGGATTACAAGCTTTGCATTGGATCTTAGGTGGACTCTGCAGTGCACCAGGGAAGGAGTTTGTAGAAATGGCTGCATAGTTTCTCTGAAAGGTGGCCCTCTCGCTGTTCTGTCTGAGCATATTTGGCTCCTCTTGTTTCCCAGGTTCTCCGGGGGAGACGGCATTCAGAGCTACAGACCAGGGAGGCGAGAATGAGAAGCAGTACAAGAAGGTACGTCCTGGAAGGGAAAGGCTCCGGTATGCGGGGGGAATTTATACTGGGGTGGTGGAGTGGGCATCGTTTTGCTGGGTGTTTCAAGTTGGAAGTCAGTAGAATTCCTCTGTTGGGAAATGGTGGCTTGAGGAAGGCGTCATGCGTTAAAATGTTTAGTGTGTGCAGCATGTTCTCTGGGAGACTTACTATGACTATGAGCCTCCTGAAATGAAAGCATGTGTGTGTGTGTGTAATTTTTTAGTCCCAGTCATGAACACATTAACTTGTCGTTCAGTTCCTAACAAGCCCCATTCTTGTATTAGAAGCCCAGCCATAAAACTAGCAAGCTAAAGTCCAGTGAGTGATGTACACACAAGCTGGATTGTGAGAGCGCTTCCTCGGTCCCGTTAGATACCAAACAAGGGGAATTTTTAGCAGGGGAAGAGATCACTTCTGTTTAGCACACATAGGCCTCTTCCAGGCGTGCTGTGTGGACCATAGTATCCTGGCTTGGTGGAACATGATAGATGGTGGAGGAAGAGGTGGACTCCAAGCTGTATTGGGCTCAAGCCGGTTAAGTGTTTCTGTTTGAAGCCTGCACTGTTCCTGGGGCCCAGAAGATAAGTGGCAAGGGCTGTCTTCCAGGCTGGTTTCCGTCTAATTTATTTTCCAGCGATGTGCTTCAAATAGCCACTTGAGGGTGATGCTGAGGGTTCTGGGCCCTCTAAGCTGAGTTAGTGTGAGCCAGCTCACAGTTTTTTAGCCTCTGGCTCACACATTTTTGTCTTAGCTCAGGAAGGATGGCTCCAGTGCAAACTAATTGAGGCAGTAGCCAATTTGTTTACTCACAACTTTAATGCCAGTAGCTCACAAAGCAGAGTTTTTGCTCACAAGACTCCACAGCTTAGAGGGAACGTTGCTCCCAACCACTGTCAGTTCTTCCTTAGAAGCAGTTGTGCAAGGTTCCTGTATGAAACAGCAGCTCCTCAGACCATTTCAGGGCAGGGAAATGGTGTGAGGAAGCAAAGAGTTTAATGCCGCCGCCCCCGCATTCTGTGGCCCCAGCCCAATCTGTGGGTCCCACTTGGTTGTTATTTAGGAAGGAAAGTGCCTCGGTAGCCCTGGTCTCCCAACTCCCAAGATCACGGGTCGATTGAAACAAAAGCAAGCCCAGAAAGGCTGGCAGCTCTGTAGCCTGAAGCTGATGGCGGGGAGATCCAGGTGGTCCCAAAACAGGCTTTAATGCCCCCAAAAGGACTTCTGATAGCTACCCCCCACACCCAAAAAAGTCCCCCAACAGATCGAGGTTCCTCCTCTCTTCTGCTGCCCGCAAGACAGGATGGTGTCAGACTGGCTTTAACTGAGAACTTGCTGGGTGGGCGTGGGAGTTCAGGTGTCAGCAGCTGTGATGGTTTTGTGTGAGGGTGGGTCACGGGGGAGATCATTCTGGTAAAGCTTCAGGGAGGGAGACAGGGAGGCTGGCCCCCGAGGCTTTCTCTATGGGCGGTGAAAGTTCTGGGTGGAGCAAAGCTCTGATGATGACTGAGCAGGTGACTAGGATGAGACACCTTCCCAGGTGACAGTCCTGTGGCGTGATGCTGCGTGGAGACAGGCACCCACCCTGCTTGGGGTCACCTCCACTTGATTCTTGGATGTAGGGCTGGTGCCCAGTTTCCAGTTCTGATCTTAGTATTTGTGTGTGTGTGTGAAGTCAGGCCTGTCTTTTTTTAAATTCTGTTATTGTGAGCAGCTCTCTTGAGCTGGGAGCAGCCTCTGGGACTTTTGACATAAAGCAGCAAGTCTCCTGATCAGGTTAGGTGTCTCTGCATTCTGTCCACCGTGGGCTTCCCACGTTTCCGCCTGAGCACCGTAAGTGGAAGGGGTCCTTGAGCAATGTGAGCAGGGACATCCTGTGTGACGTCACTCCCTCTACCTGCATTGCTCCCACTGCTGACAGGCCTGGCCCCAGCATGGGCTCCGCTCAGGCCCCCAGTGACTGGAGGGGCCGAAATGTGCAGAAAGGGGCCTCCCCGTGCCCTGAGGGTGCAGCACAGCGTGGCTTGGTTGCGTGATGGAGCAGGGCCCACCCATGCCCTGTCTTTCATCATGGCCCTCAGGCTGCCGAACTTGGGGCCTCCTAAAACGCGTTTTGCTTGGAAACAAAACGGTTTGCAGGCAATAATTACACCCAGATTGGCATATCCGAGCAAACCAAAGTCTCCTCCCCATGGGCATCCGAGTCTCTGTAATGCTTGGAGCAACTGGGAATCAGCCCACAGTTTCTGAAAGGCTCTTGGAGTCAAAGATCTAGCAGAGGGTTGACAGTTCTGGGTTGGGAAATTCCTGGCGATTTTGGAGGTGGAGCATGAGGAGGGCGGGCCTTTGTAGACAGGAAGGAGCTCAACGGAGTGTACGACTGATCACAGGGTAGATCCTATCCCTGTCCTACCACTTCACTGAGCAAAGCTGAAAGACTTCCTACGGCCAAAAGAGACTGGGGCCGTGGCTCAGCAGAAGAGCCTTTGCTTTGCATGCAGGAGATCCCTCCATTGCCAGTTAAAAAGGACCAGGCACAGGCCCGTAGCCAGAATTTTTTTTAATTCGGGGGGCCTTTAAAGAAGTCCGGGGGCATCCTGCACACAACCCCAAGGGAGCGCCACAAATAAAATAAAACATTGGAAGTTGGGGGGCCTGGGCTGGATGGGAAGTCAGGGGGCCAGGCCCCCAGATGCCCCACTGTAGCTATGGGCCTGACCAGGCAGGAGGTGATGGGAAAGACCTCTTCTGCCTGAGACCCTGGAGAGCCGCTGCCAGTCTGAGGAGGCAGCACTGACCTCGATGGACTGATGCTCTGATTCAGTATAAATGTAGAAACAACAGAGAGAGATCACAGGTAGGTAGCAAACAATGAAGAAAACAGCCGGGATGTATCATGAAAATATATATATTTTTAGACTGCTGTGTTGCAGTGAGTAGTATTTCATAAAGAAGTAGTCAAGATGTACGCATCCCCACTAACGGAATTTGCATATACTCCCGTTTCACATAACCGCTTTATCTAAGTGTGCTGCGTGCGAAAAACATTAGTTTACACGTCAACAATTGCAATCCGTGAACTTGACACAAAACATTCTTCCCTCTTCAATGAAACAAAATCTTTATGTGCTCAGGAATGTAAAGGTTTTGTTTCATTGAAGAGGGAAGAATGTTTTGTGTCAAGTTCACGGATTACAATTGTTGACGTGTAAACTAATGTTTTTCACGCAGCACACTTAGATAAAGCGGTCATGTGAAACGGGAGCATATGCAAATTCCGTTAGTGGGGATGCGTACATCTTGACTACTTCTTTATGAAATACTACTCACTGCAACACAGCAGTCTAAAATATATATATATTCATTATACATCATGGCTGTTTTCTTCATTGTTTGCTGATTCAGTATCAGGCAGCTTCATTTGTGTTCAGTGGAATGGCAGGGCAGAGCATGCAGAGCGCTTGCTGCTGGGCAGTAGTTGTTAGTGGTGATGCTTCTCTCTCTTTTTCTCTGTGCGAGTGCTCCCTGCCTGCCCGGTCTTTTTCACAGCATGTTGTGCAAGTGCTTAGGAACTTCCATCTCAGAAAGGTCGTGCAGAGCCTGCATGCTGCTGGTTAAGCACCCTTTCGCCGTTTGTCAACCTGAACGTTTGCTGAAGAGGGCGTCGCCAGTGGTGCCTGGTGTCGCAGAGTCTTGATTCCAAATGGATCCCAGGCATGAATCTTGGTCGCTCCTGGGAGAGGTTTTTATGACCTCTTGAACTGGAGCCCTCTGCTTACTCATAAGGAATGTGGAATTCCAAAAACAACATCCGTGACAAAAATAACAGAGTCAATAAAGATAAGTTGCAAAAATGTTTACTGTAGTAATTTCTGTAGAAAGTTTTCTTCTATTATCGCTCACGCGCTAATGAATGCTGTGCAATGAAAACAATTTGTTTCACAATATTTGCTTTATCTGAGCGTGTAGCAATCCCAATTCTTATCACTAAAAGGAAGAAAATACACATTCAATTATAGATGTAGCTTAAAGAATCATAATAAACCATTACACACAAAACTGTCACTCACATCACTACTTATCAACTCCTGAAGGAAACATTCCATGTTGACTCTCTAATAACAGAACCCAAGGTCTTCACAATGTATTAGCTGGATTCTCAAAACCAAACATAAAGTCTTCACTGCTAATTGCTACCAGCCACAGTCTGCCTATGCAAAGAGCATTTAAAGTGCTAGTGTATCCATATATGTTTTTTTCCATTTGTAAAAACAAAACTGTAAAATGCCATCTATATTATTAATTTCACCTATTAACAGTCTATATAAACATCAAAACCTCTCTCATTTTTGGCTTTTGCTCATAAGAAAGGCCTAACGGCAGCCTCACACACAAGAATTCTGAAAAGTGCCACTTAAATTTGCTCTTAGAGGGTTTCTTGAAAGGAATAAAGGTGATTGTGGGAGATAAAGTGGGCAGGGTTGAGTTGCAGCGTTCAGCTTTCTTTGGGTTGTGCTCCTAATCTGGGTGGAGGCCTGTGCTTTGCCATAAAGAACTCTAAGGAGAGTCCTGCTGGATCACACCAAGAGCCCATCACGTCCGGCGTTCTGTTCACACTGTGGCTGCCCAGCTGCCTCTAGGGTGACGGCAGCTGCATCCCCCCACCCCCCACGCTCCCCACCCCCTGATTTAAAGCGGCCTTAACCAGTTTGTAAATACGCAGAAAATTAACAGTACGTGTAGAAATTTTTTTTTTAATCATAAAAGGAGTTAACAGTTACATATCATAGAGCAGGGGTGATAGATCTTTCGAGGGGGAATCGGTGGCTGTTTTGAAATTAAATAGACCAGAGGACACAGAAATGGTTTGAAGGTCAACTTGAAATGGAGTTTGGTCAGCCATCTGTGGTTTGTCGTGTGTGTGAGCACTTTTTTGATTTTTTTGTATTTATACTGCTAATTTTTCTCTGTGTTTGCACACCACTTAATGGTACATTGAACATCGTTTACGAGAGCATGCTTCTCACATTTTTTACATATTGTGGGTTCAGGTGGCATTTCATTGCCTGGAGTTTACAACACCCCCTTATTTGTGATACAGAAAGATTGTTGTGTGCGTTTTCACGCTTGTGAATGTTATCTTAAATATTGTTTACGACTGCACGCTTGTCCCATTGAAGGGCAGGCAGGGGCTTGATTCAGAGCAGCCCCTGATGAAACGGCGTTCCTTCCCTATCTCAGAAGTGTTTGTTTGGAGAGTAAATCGGAAGTTAGGTTTTTTTCTGGAACTGTAACAAAATTTGTAAGTTTGTTTTTACCAAACTTCCTTTCCCAGTTCTGTTGTGTTTGATTGTGTTGCTTCGTTTTTTAAATCTATTTCTTAGTGGCGTTTTATATAGCTAAAACACTTAATAGACTCCCTTTCCTCTCAAAGAGTGTTGAACACCTTCCCTTTGGCCTGGTGTAGACCTGCAGCAAAATGAGGTGGTAGAATTCTGAGCTGGCAAAATGGGCTGTATTGCTTCAGGCTGTCGGTGGGGGGAGGGTCTCACATTTTAAAGTGCCCCCCCCCCCATTTAGGAGAAACCGAAGAACCCTCTGCTTATCATGGGTCATGCTTTGCTACTTTTTTAGCCTACAAGGAATTATTAATTAATTATGGGGAGACTTTGAAAAATGTAGTCTTGTTCCTGCAGCCTGAAATGGTACTGCCCCTTCTGTCCCCACATTCTGCTGTATGTACAGACCATAAGAACATAAGAGAAGCCAATGTTGGATCAGGCCAGTGGCCCACCCAGTCCAACACTCTGTGTCACACAGGGGCCAAAAGGACCAGGTGCCACCAGGAGGTCCAGCGAGGGGGGGGGGCAGGACACCAGAAGCCCTCCCACTGTTGCCCCCCCCCAAGCACCAAGAAGACAGAGCATCCCTTGCCCCAGACAGAGTTCCTATCTGTACCTTGTGGCTAATCGCCACTGATGGACCTCTGCTCCATATGCTTATCCAATTCCCTCTTGAAGCTGTTCATACTTGTAGTCGCTTACCACCTCCTATGGCAGTGAATTCCACGTGTTAATCACTCTTTGTGATCACACTCTTTAATCACTCTTTAATCACTCTTTAGTCACACAAACCAGGCTTCTGTGTGTCTTTTTGTGTCCTGTATCCCTTTATGTCCCCGCTGGAAAGTCAAAATCTTCTTGTACTGTTACCATTTAGGAGTATTCAGACTGATGAGCATTGTACACATTCATGATTCCTGGATAAATTGTACAGGCAGTTTGTATAGTCCTGTGGCATTGCTGAATTAGTGTTACCTACAGGTGTACATTTTCTGATATGAATGTTAAAAGGCATGGCTTGGCATGGGAAAGGAGAGGCCAGTTCAGTTCCTGGTTACTGCGTCATTCTTTAATTTTGATCAGATTGTCGGGAAACCCATAAAGCGGGAGGCCGGTCCTTCTCACTCCGAATTGTGTGTTTCTAGCCCTTCCGAGCAACCCATCCATCTCGCTCTCCCCTTGTCAGAGTTCTTTGTTTCATCAGAGATCGCCTCTGTGGTCAGAGGGCCTCACTTGCTTCAATATGCTCTTGTTCTGCCCAGAGTCCATCAGCGTCTACATCTTCATTAATTTTCTCCCTCAAATGTACCCAGAGAGCAGTTAGCGCTTGCGTGCCGAGATCTCATGTCCCCCTTATTTCTTCCCCTGCCCCCTGTCTTTACATTGCGCTTTTCGGTTTAATATTATTTCTCCCCTCACTTCCGTTTTTTTCCTTCTCCTCCCCCTCGTAAATGTGCGGCAGGGCCTGCTTGGCGAACTCATTCACTTGCAGCAGCAGATCCAGCAGCATGAAGAGGAAATGCACAGAGCCACTGCTGACCCAAGTGGCCCGAGCTCCTCCCAGCAGAAGCGAAAGGTGATGATGGCTTGGAAAAAGGCGGCAGGGTGCTGCAGTCTCCCCCCCCCCCCCCCAATCAAACACTGTGACTTGGTGCCAATCAGTACCTCCCTGATTGTCCTGTGCTTGTGGTGGGTCTTAGCGGTGGTCTTGCCCTGATGGGTGTTTTTTTTCCTGGGTTCTTGTTTTGATCACACAAATGAAATCAGTTGTGGGAAAGATCTGCCCTTACCTTTGCTTCGGCAGCTTTTCTGCTAGCTTGTAAATCCTTTGTTTGGGTGTTCAGTGGCTAGTTGCCAGGAATAAGCCATGGGGGTTTGGGGGGGGAGTTTCTCATGGGCCTCCTAGAGGCATCCAGCTGGCTCCCGTGGGAAATGGGCTGCAGGATTAATGGCCCCCACTTGCTCTGGTCCAGCAGGGCTTCTCTTGTGGATCTGAACTGTGTGCCATGAAGACACTTGAAACGGCTTTTTCAGCATGGCTGGCTGGTGCGCCCATTTGCGTGACCTGGCCGTAGGGTCACTCATCTGCCTGTGTGCTCTGTCTTAAGGGACTCGGGCCCCGTGGAGCCTGTCCGACAGAATGATACCTCCAGCCATTCCATTGAGGCAGTCTCACTCAGCCTATTATCGGCTTCTCTGATTGACATGCCAAAGGGCCAGGGTATTAAATTGTTTTATAGACTCATAGGCTCATAGAGTGGGAAGGGACCTCCAGGGTTATCTAGTCCAACCCCCTGCACAATGCAGGAAATTCACAAATGCCTCCCCCTCCACACCCACAGTGACCACTGTTCCATGCCCAGAAGATGACAAAACCCCTCCAGGATTGCTTTCTGACCCCAAAAAGGCAATCAGCATTTCCCTGGGTGTGTAAAAAAGGCCACAGGGACTAAGCACTGAGGCAACCTGTCCTGCCCTCCCTCTCATGATCTGCCTCAGTTCACAGAATCCGCATTGCTGTCAGATGCCCTCCCAAGAAGGAGAGCCCACCCCCTCCCGAGGAAGCCTGTTCCACTGAGGAACCGCTCTGACTGTCGGGAAGTTCTTCCTAATGCTGATTCCTGACCCCAAAGTGGTGATCAGCATTTCCCTGGGCATGTAAAAAAGGCCACAGGGACTAAGCACTGAGGCAACCCTTCCTGACCTCCCTCTCAGAATGATCTGCCCAAGTTCACAGAATCCGCATTGCTGTCAGATGGCCATCTAGCCTCTGTTTGAAAACCTCCAAAGAAGGAGAGCCCACCACCTCCCGAGGAAGCCTGTTCCACTGAGGAACCGCCCTAACTGTCAGGCAGTTCTTTCTCACGTTTAGCCAAAAACTCTTTCTGATTTCACTTCGACCCATTGGTTCTGGTCTGACCTTCTGGGGTAGCAGAAAACAACTCTGCACCATCCTCTGTACGACAGTCCTTCATGTCCTTGAAGATGGTTATCAGTCATCTCCAGGCTAAACATACCCAGCTCCTTCAACCTTTTCTCATAGGATTTGGTCTCCAGACCCTTCATAAATATTTGTTTTTATTTATGTTTTGTATCTGTGTCGTTAACCACTCTGAGCCCCGATTGCAGGGGAAGGAGCAGGATAAAAATCAAATGAAATAAAACGACTGTAACTCAGTGGCTGCAGCATCAATTGACCTGGCTGTCCAACAGCCACCCCCACAGTACAGAGATTGAATATTCCCCGTGGCCCCCAGCGCATTCAGACAGCTTTTCAGGTGCAAGAGTCTTGTGGAGTCAGTTAGGCTAAGAAGGTGGCTTTCCCCAGGCTGTGCAGTGAGCTTTGTGACTAAGCAGGTTTTGGAGTCTGGGCTTTGTGCATTCCAAGCTGAACTCCGTTGCTGTTGCATCACCTCGTCCTCCTCTGAAGTACTGCTGTACGGAGGTGGAATGTGCCATCAAATTGTAGCTGATTTACGGTGACCCTGTAAGGTTTTCAAGGCTACAGATTTTCAGAAGTAGCTTGTTTATTTTTTGATGTTACTTATGCTTCACCTTAGTCCTCAGTGGGGACCCAGAGTGGCTCACATCATTCTCCTCCCCTGTGTTTTATCCTCACAACAGGCCTGTGAGGTAGGCTAGACTGAGAGTGTATGACTGGCCCCAGGTCACCCAGCAAGCTTCCGTGGCAGGGTGGGGATTCGAACCTGGGTATGCCAGATCCTGGTCTGGCACTCTAATCCTGATGCCGTACTGGCTCTGCCGTTGCCTCCCTCTGCCTAGCATTGTGGCTTTCTAGGCGGGGTGTGTGTGTGTTATAATTGTTGTTCTTATTGTGACTTTTTTGTATTGTTTTTGTATATTGCAAGCCAGCTTGAGTTCTGCAAGGGAGAAAAGCTACTGATAAATGTTTTAAATCAATCAATCAATCCAAGTACTCACCCACCCCAGGCCGACCCCGCTTAGCCTCTGAGATGTGACAAGATGGGGGCTAGCCTGGGTTATCCAGGGCTGCCGCAACAGAGCTATTCAATGTAAAGGTGGGGGGGAACACACCAAGCCTCTGATATTTGAGGTTGGTGGCTCAGAATTTCAACTGTTTTCGCCACAGCTGTTGATTCTAGTGCCTGTAGTGTTTCAGAAACTGAAGTAGACATTTTCAGGTGAGCCATGGGAAGGAATTTGCAACAGTCAGGGGAAGGGAGCTCTGAGCTGGATGGGCAGCCGGGCAGCCCCGAAGTGCTTTTATGGTGGCCTCAACTGGAGCTTGGTTCCGGGGCAGAACATGCAGAGAAATGGGCAGAGCGATATCTGCTGCAGTGGAGCAAGCGACACGCGTCCCCTGGCTTCATTTACAGCCTGCTCAGTGAAGCTATGGCCAAGGATGATGCGATGTTCCCACAACGATAAAGGTTTTAAGTTCTTGCCCTTTGGAATGGGAATGGCGGTGTGAGAGGCTGGTAAGCGGTTTCCTTCTCACACTGATAGCATGAATTCAAGAACAGTTGTCACCTTTCAGTAGTTAAAATGGCACAAATACGTTCTGATCAATGCCCACGGGTGGGGGGGGGGCTACTCCCTGCCGCCCTGTCTTGGCCATGATGAGTTCTGGCCAGCATCTCCCCTGTGGATCCTTGAGAGGGGGAAGCCTCTGCTCGGCATGGAGCCTCTCTCCTTTGGGGATGGGTGCTTCGCTCAGGCTGACGAAATGCTGGCACTTGGGCTGAGGCTTTTTGTAAAAAAATAATCTGTCTCCAGCATCCTTCTCTGGAATAGGCATTTCCATCCCGCTGGAATCTGCAGCATCTCGTCCCTTAATATGGTAGATATTGCCTAAGTGGCAAAAGAAAACTCAGTCGTCTGGATTTGCCTTCAAAAAGGTGTTAGGGTGCCAAGTTCTGTCATTGGACAACTTCCCCTCTTGATTTTGGGAGATTATTGCAGAACAGCTAGCCTGCTATTTGTGGCTTTGGCCTGGAGGGGTTATTATTATTTATTTGATTTCTATCCCACCCTCCCTGCCAACCCTGGAGCTGGAGCTTTACTTGCTGCAGCTTGCCAGGGCTCCTTGCAATTTTCTTACTTACTGAGCTGGACCTTCCTAAAATGACGATTTGCTCAGTGGCAGCTAGAATTGTAGCACTTCCATATTTAGAAGGTCCATGTAGGATGAGAGAAGACCTTGGCTAGGTAGCCTTCTGGGGGTATAAACAGAGACCTTCGCTGTGTTACGTTTTTAGCATTGGAAACACTGGCCAGATGTTTTTGAAAAAGACAGGTTATTTCAGAATGGTGTTGTGGAATAGGCTGTGGCGTCCACTGTTGGTTTCCTTCCAGCTCTGCCCTGCCTGTCTGATGAAGGAGCTTCATGGGATGAACTTCATAAAATTGGTGGTTCTTAAAATTCATGGTTTGAGGATCTGGTGTGGGCTGAACATAAAACAAACCCGAATGTTCAGGCTTATGTTTCTTGGTGTTGCAGGTGTCTGACAAAGAAAAGGTTGACCAGCTCCAAGAAGAACTTCTGCGTTCTCAGGTATGGAGTCGTGTCGGTCTTCAGGACAGAGTTGATAATGTTTTCATACCAAAATGGGCTAAGTGGGCACAGAAGGCTCAGGATCTGCCCTGTGGTAAATATGGACCCTGCCCTATGCCAAGGGCCTATATTACTTTTTTAAAAAAAACAGAAGAACCAGATGTGTGTGATGGGCCACGTGGATGTGTCCGGTGGCTTGCCTAGGCTGTGCAGCTGGTCCTGCCCAGGGCCTGGCAGCGTCAGTCACATGCCGCCTGCAGCCCTTTGGACTGGCTCTTGCACTGCCACAGTCCTGTGTGAAGGGGCCTGGCCTTCTGCCTGAGGGGCAGCCCACAGCTGCAGATGGGGCACCGGTGTGGCTCACCAGCCAAGAGAATGAGTGGTGGTGCAGGAGGCTGCCAGTTCAGATCCCATCTCAGCCATCACCTCACTAAGTAGCCTTCAGCAACCCCCTCAGCTCCTTATCTGAAATACAGAGGTGATAATATCACCCTACCTTGCAGGAGTGTTGTTAAGGATTACTGTGATATGTGACGCAACTTGAACACTGAAAGTGCTGGGGAAGAGCTTAAAAGTCAGCATTTGAAAGATCTTTGTCAGTCTCTGTTGTGAATGCTTTTATTCTGTTATGTTTGTGTGTTGAGTGCCGTCAAGTGGCTTCCGACTCCTATAAAACAGTGACTTCCAAAACGTCCTTATCATTAACAGCCATGCTCAGGGGTCCTGCACACAGAGGGCCTTTGTAGCCTCCCTTTTGGAGTCAACCCCTCTCATGTTGGGTCTCCCTCTTTTCCTGCTGCCTTCCATTTTTCCTAGCACTACTTTCCCCCCCAGTGACTCTTGTCTTCTCATCATGTGACCAAAGTACCGTAGTCATTTTAGTTTCTAGGGCACATTCAGGCTTGCTTTTATTGAGAACCCACTGGTTTGTCTTTCTGGCGGCCCACAGTTTCTGCAAAACTTACCTCCCACACCACATTTCAAAGGAATCTACTTTCTATTCTACCAGCAGTTCATAATACTGCCCAGTTACAACAGGAAGCAGATCCCACTGGATATAGTGGGCCTGTTTCCGGTAAATGAGCTTCTGCTCATTGTAGCGTTTGTGTTCTCAAAGATGTAACCCTTCAGCTTGCAGTTATATGTCCTTGAAGAAGAACGGAGGATGTTTCTGACACTCTTCACCCCCCCCAATTGTTAGAACACCCCTCAGTCCTAATAGGACATAATTTGGTGACTTGTAGTAAAATGTCTGTAGTGTCAAAGCCTTCCTGGTGTCAGGCTCCTTAGTCAGGTCACACCACACAGGGCTTCATAAGAAGATAACTGTTTATTAGTGGTTCCAGTACTAAAGAACACGTGTACAGAATATGTCAGGAATGGCCATCAGTACAAGGGCCTCTGACTTACAGTGAAATCAGACATTCACCCTGTAAGCATGAGCCAATGGATATAGTTCACGCGTGCGGCAAAGCAAGCGGGCAGAGCAGAGAAGCTGTTAACTTTCCCAGCTGTGGAAGCGGTAGCTGGAACATCTGCAAGGTCAAGCATAAGATAGCACACAGTAGCTGGGCAGGAGAGAGCTGGGAAGGAGAAGGAGGGTACCCCCCCCCCACATTCCAGATTTGTGACAGGGTTACCTGACCCCTGGGTGCCTCCTGCCCTCTCTAAACTGCCTCAATCAAGCACTGCCTTTCCTGTCCAACTTTAGTAGACTGTATTGGGGGAGTATCAAGATTGAGAGTATTTTACATACATCACTTGTTTAAAAGCATTATCATTAAGAGAAGAATCATCTTTTTCTGAAGTCATGGCAAGTATTTCAAAGGAAGCAAGGGTCTCTTCAATCCAAGGTATTTTAAAGGGGGAAATAAAAGAACTTTCCCCCCTGGAAATTATTTAAGGGAATACAACGTCTTCACATAATGCTGTAATTCCTAGTTGCAGTTTTTCTGGTTCTTTAGTGGTTACTGAAAACTGTATTGTTAGATTCTCTATTAACTATCCTGTAAAAAGATGGTCTGACTAGAAAGTTCAGTGATCTGTTAGTGACAGGCTATGTTATATTACAAATTTCTACCTTCCCTCCTTATTCCCCACCCCCTTTCAGTTTAACATTTTCATGTCTGTTTTTTTAGCTGAAATACCAACGGATGCTTGAGCGCTTGGAGAAGGAGAATAAAGAGCTAAGGAAGATTGTATTGCAGAAAGATGACAAAGGCATTCATCAAAGGAAGCTGAAGGTGTGTGGATATTTCCGCAGATTTTCCCAGGCTGAGGGCATGTGAAGCTGCCTCCTTCTGAGCCTGACTGATAGTCTGCGCCAGTGTTCCCTCTAAGCTGCGTTGGTGTGAGCTAGCTCACAGTTCTTTAGCCTCCGGCTCACACCTTTTTGTCTTAGTTCAGGAAGGGATGGGGATCCAGAGCAAACTAATTTATGCAGTAGCCAAATCGCTCACAACTTTAAGGCTAGTAGCTCACAAAGTGGAATTTTTGCTCACAAGACTCTCCGCAGCTTAGAAGGGAGCCTTGGTCTGCTCTGATCGGTGGCTGTCCAGAGACGGACGGACGGAGGAGGAGGAGGAGGAGGAACTTACAAACGCCTTTCCCTTCCCCTCCCCACAACAGACACCTTGTGAGGTCGGTGGGGCTGAGAGAGCTCTTGACAGAAATGGCTCTTTTTCAAGAACAGCTCTTATCAGAACTACGGCTTGCCCAAGGTCATTCACCCAGGTGCAAGCGGAGGAGGATTGGGGAATCAAACCTGGTTCTCCTAGATTACAGTCTGCGCACTTAACCACTACACCAAACTGGCTCATCATTAGACATGATGTGTCACATAATGCAGAAAAGGTGTCACAATGGGACTACAGTGGGACCAGGGTGGCTAATGCAGCCAACAGATAAAGTATTCTATACGCAGTGTTATAGCTGACAGTTTCACTCCCCTCCTTTTTTTTTTTTTTTTAAAAAAAGCCCCTTCCTGCCCTCTTGAGAAATCCTGTTCTACGTAGTTAATGGAAAGCCAGAAGTGTGTGAACCCTCCTGGCCTCCTCGGGCGGGCCATTCCCGTAGGGTGGAGGCCACATCGGAGAATGGGCTTGCGTGGGCAGTTGATGATCTTGCCCCTTGGTGGGCGCCTGCAGAAGGTCCTGCTCAGGTAACCTGAGCTGCCCCGGTGGAGCACAGCAGGAGAGGCGGTCCGGCAGAATGGAGGCCCGAGGCCACGAAGGGCTTTGCGTGGGAGAGCCCAGCACCTTGAATGGAGCCCGGAAACTGAGGAGCAGCCAACGGAATTACTGCCGAATGGAAGGGATGCGCACGCTCTACCCAGCTCCTGATAGTAATGGAGCTGCAGCATTCTGCACCAACTGGAGTGGAATTGGCTGCCAGAGGATGTAGTGATAGCCACAGGAATACACACAGCTTTAAAAGGTGATTAGACAGATTCATAGGGGATGAGTCTATCAGTGGCTGCTAGTCACAGTGACCGAAGGGAACCTCCGCATTCAGAGACATGAATCCTTTGAATCTCAGTGCCAGGAGGTGATGTCAGAGGAAGGCCTCAGCCTCCGTGCCCTGTTGTTGGCCCTCAAGAGGAATTGGTTGGCCACTGTGTGAGACAGGATGCTGGACTAGATGGGCCGCTGGTCTGATCCAGCAAGGGGGGGGGGTTCTTATGTTCTCTGAGCTGACTTCAGCAATGTCATTTTCCTTGGATATTTTATCATGACTGGAAGAGACAACTTGCCCTCCACAGCCTCGCTTTGTCTTGAATTCAGATGCCACCATTCTGCGTTTGGGCAGGATGAGTCTCAGAGGCTGGGCTGCGTGGGTAGAGCTGAACAACCAGGAAGAAACTTTGCTTAGGAGGTTGAAGTGGACCTTTAGCTCAGCTGACCATAATTCTTTTTCAGAAATCTTTGATTGACATGTATTCCGAAGTCCTGGACATCCTGTCCGATTACGATGCCAGCTACAACACCCAGGATCACCTGCCCCGGGTAAGACCATGTGGCTGCCTGTTCAGCAGCGTTGTGCATCCAGTCAAGAGGGGGCCGTAATCCCTTAATGCCGCCCGTGAGCCAAGGGGGCAGCCAGGAAACCTCCAGCGGGGGGGAGGGGGAGGGGTAGAAGTCCTTTTTTAAATTCCTCTCTGTAAAAGTTGTGGTTCACATAGTTTAAAATAAATACTTACACCTCCTAAAAGAATCCCATCCTCTGAAAACATTCTCATCCTCCCCTCCCCCAAACGAAGAACCCTCGTCTAATATTAATTCAGACATGGTGCGTTTTCTTTGTGTCTTACTCAACAGAAGAGTGCAGTTTTTTTGTTTTGTGTGTTTCCAATCCCATGTGTGCAGAAGAGTGCAGTTTTTTTGTTTTGCGTGTTTCCAATCCCATGTGTTCTGCACATGTTCACTCTAAGGTGGTCGTGGTTGGTGATCAAAGTGCTGGGAAGACCAGTGTCCTTGAGATGATTGCCCAGGCCCGGATCTTCCCTCGTGGCTCCGGAGAGATGATGACCCGCTCACCGGTCATGGTAAGCCAGGTGGAGCCCCAGAACCATCGTGGCTCTTTGAGAATAAAATAACTGCCATGGGTATCCCACTGGACTCATCGTTTATATTCCCATTTCTAGGTGCTTTCCAGATGATTAAACGTAGAGTCCTCGATATTGAAACACAAAGGCTTTACAGCTTAGCCAATAAATCTTGTTCCCCCCTGAACTTTGAGATTCCCCTTACGGTAGGCCTTGCTGGTATGCAAGCACTGCAACAGCGCAGAGCCTTTTCTCTAGCAAGATTCAATGTAATACCATCAGGAATCTTGCATGGGAGATATAGTAACATAGTATATGCGGATAGATTTTGCCATTGCAATTCTGGATGTATTGAAACTGTTTCACATATTTGTTTGCATTGTCAATTTTATGTGGTTTTACGTGCTAGATATTTAAACCCTACCTTAGCCAACATGACGAACCTTCCTGATGCTTTAAAAGTGCACCGTTTTCAAAGAAAATAGCCATGTTTTTACAATCAGCAATAACGCTATGTCAGGAAAACTTCCAATGAGTAATTGTTTTATGCTACTTGGTTTTTAAAGTATACTTCTTCTTATAGTAATCCTTTTTAAGGTATTTTATGCCAGTAAAGGTCAACTGAACTGAACATCGGGGTTCAGCTGGCAGGGAAAGGAATAGCTTGTTGGTCTTGTGCGTGCCTCCAATTAAAAGTCACTCTGACTTCATTTAGGTGTTCTTTCTTTCCTTCGAATGCCAGGTCACCCTCAGCGAAGGCCCTCACCATGTGGCAATATTCAAAGACAGTTCTCGGGAGTTTGATCTGACCAAAGAAGAAGACGTAAGTTCTTCATCGAAGTGCCGGTATCTTTTGTGGTGTCGGTGCCTGGGAAAGGGGAGGGGTCTCTGGGAGCTGGACCGAGGGGGGGAGGCGGCTGGATGGAAACCATTAATCAATCAGTTAGCTTGGGAGGTGCCGATGCCAACTCTCCTGAGGAGCTGCCCGAGGCGGCTTTCAAAGTAAAGCATGATAAAAACATAAAACAGCAGATGGTTACAAATCAGCAAGCTACTAAAAGCCCATCCAGATTAAAAACAGCATAAAATATTTTGCAGCTAGAGTCTCTTAAAGCAGTTCAGTCTAGAAGCAAGAACATCAAACCCTTTTAGGTAGAAGCATGGGTGGAAAGAAATATTTTGGCCTGGCACTTGAGAGAGAGGGGGGGGGGAGAGTAGGACAGGTGCCAGGTGAGCCTCAAGGGGAGGGGCATTCTGCAGGCAGGGTGCCACTCCTAAAACGGCTCCATCACTGGTCGTTGCCTTCTTCCCCTCTACGCTCATGGGCACAACAGAGAGCAGGGAGCGAGAAGAGGCTCTTAACGATGTCTTCACTTTTTTGTGTGTGTTTTGTGTTAAATGCTTTTTAATGTCTGAAATGTCTTAAGATTTTAATGTTCAGTACCTTAAGGATCCTGAATTGGCTGGGGAAAAGGTGCCGTAGAAATGTTTTAAATAAATAACTTATACTGCGCTTTTCTCATGGACACTATGGGCAGATTATGTAATTTGAAACTATGCAGCGAGAGCAGTATGACAGCAATGCAGTAAAACTGGATTGCAAAATTAGAGAGTAATGCAGTAAAAACAGCATAATACATAATAAAATAAAATATAAAAACAGTGTAATTTACTTGTATAATTATTTTAAGTAATGCATGCAGTGATGACACAAAACAGTGTAACGTATACAATTAGCAAAGCAGTCAAACTACTTAACATTCAGTATGTTGTCGAGTACTCTCTGTGTCACATGGACACAGGGAGTACTCCATCTTTCTGTGTTATACCTCTGAGGATGCCGGTCACAGCTGCCGGCGAAACGTCAGGCACTACAATGCCAAGACCACGGCCGTACAGCTTGGAAAATCTACAACAACGAATACCTAACATTCCACAGGCATTAACTGTGACCCTTTATAAAGAAGACCCTCCTGCACAGTAATGTTTTATGGATTCTGTGGAACGATAAAAGCTAAACATTAGTGGGCTGGATGATATGGGAAGAGATGATCTTTCACATACTTCAGCCGCAGGCTATTCAGAGCCTTAAAGGGAAGAACTGGCACTTTTGAGTCGTGTCCAGAAACAGACGGGCAGCCCGGGCAGGTCTTTCGGCCTGGGGTGATAACAATCCCCGTATCCTGCCCCTGGCAATAGCCCGGCTGCCGCATTTTGGGCCAACTGGACTTTATGGGCTGTTTTCAAAGGCAGCCCCACCTACAGCACTCTACAGTAATCTGCCGTGGATGTGACCAGAGCATGGATCACCATGGCCAGATCCTGGTTCCTGTTAGTGGTGCATCAGTTGTTACCCTTTGTGACGCCAAGGAGGCAGGTAGAAGTTTGTATAGACCAGGGAGGCACGGGTTCAAATCCTTACTCCACTGTCAAGCTGTCTGGGTGGCTTTCGCAGATTCTTCTGTTTCTCCGAACCAACCCAGATGAGGGGATTGGAGCACCTTCCCTGGGACTTTTCAGCTGAGAAAAGAGAGGGCGTGATAGAGGTTTGTAAAATGATGCATGGAGTGGAGAGAGTTGACCCAGAGAAATTCTTCTCCCTCTCCCAAAATATTAGAACTCGGGGGCATCCAGTGAAGCTGATGGGCAGGAGGTTCAGGACAGACAGAAGGAAATACTTCTTTACACAGAGAGTGATTAAAATATGGAATCCGCTGCGAGAAGGATGTCGTGATGACCACAGGAATAAACAGCTTTAAAGGGGGAATAGATAGATTCATGGAACTAGGCGAGTAGGATAAGAGAATAAGAAAAAGAAGAGGATACAATCGGGATTTGGATTAAGTTTACTTGTTTGGTTATACAGATGAAATGTAACCTCATTTTTTTGTTTAGATTATGAAATAGAGTATAAATACATATCGTATGAAATAGTTTTATGAAATAAATACTCAATAAAAATATGATTTTAAAAAGATAGATTCATGAAGGAGAGGTCTGTCAGTGACTACTAGCCTTGGTGATGGAAGAGAACCTCTAGAGGCAGTCAGGCCCTAAATCCCAGAGCCAAGAGGCAACATCAGGGGAAGGCCTCAGCCTCTGTGCCCTGTTGCTGGACTTCCAGAGGAACTGGTTGGCCACTTGATGGACACTCTCTGGTCTGATCCAGCAGGGCTCTCCTGATGTTCTTAAGAAGGCCTCAGCCTCTCTGCCCTGTTGCTGGCCCTCTGGAGGAACTGGTTGGCCACTTGATGGACACTCTCTGGTCTGATCCAGCAGGGCTCTTCTGGTGTTCTTATCAGGGGAAGGCCTTGGGGGAGGGATATTCTGCACACCCAAAAAAGGTCAGCAAATTAGTGTTTTTCCCCTGAAGCCAGTTCCAAGCTCAGAATGGTTCTGCAAACGCCCTCTTGTCCCCCTCTAGTTGCACTTCCGGTGCTACTGCTGTGACATTCATCTTGCAGTGGCAGGTAGCAAATGAAGTTGGAAAGAGAACTTCTCCTTTATCCTGTGGATCGGACAGTGACCAACGTCTGCAGGGCAGGCACCTTGGGGGCAACATCTCCCAGGGTGCCTTGAGCAAGTTGTTAGGCATAGATTCTTTACCTTGCCTGGCCGGTCAGCTTGCATTGGAGTAACTGCAGTTACAGTGGAGGGAAGGAAAAGGTCTGTCCTCTGCTTTGGATAAAGAGTACAAGCCAGAGAAAAGTTTGGGAGCTGTGATGCAGTATGAGCTGCAGGAGAGCGTGAGTCGAGTCCCACGCAGCGCTTTTGAAGACGGAAGGATTTCCTCCTGTGCAGCGCAACTTCCCCTTGTCTCCCCCCTCCTGCTGCAGCACAGAAAAGTTCACATACACCCTGTCCCAAAAAGCATATGGTGGAGAGGCCAGAAAGTTGCACTCCACAGGTGGAAATCAACAGAGACACTTTTTGAGATGATATCCATCCCTATATTTCCAAGCACTGGCGTTTTAGAAAGTTCTGGAAGTTAGATGGCCTCACTCCTTCTGTCTGAGGACCAGGGTTCCCTCTAAGCTGAGCTAGTGTGAGCTAGCTCACAGTTTTTTTAGCCTCCGGCTCACACATTTTTGTCTTAGCTCAGGAAGGATGGGGCTCCAGAGCAAACTAATTTGTGCAGCAGCCAAATCACAACTTTAATTCCGGGAGCTCACAAAGTAGAGTTTTTGCTCACAAGACACTGCTCATGACCCTTTATGTTTCCAGCTAGAATGTCTGTGAATATTCCATAACTTAGCAGCAGTCCACCTGAGGGCCTGTGGGGAAGGCGGGTGGTGCATTGGCCGGTCTGGTGCAAATTTTGGCACTTCCCCTAAATTCCTGTGGGAAACTGGGGTGTGCCTCTCCGTGGGGAGCTTCTTCCAGGCAGAAGGAAACTCTTGGGTAACCATGAGGGGGTTTATCCAGGGAGAGAGCAACCTAGAAGTTGGATGGGAGACTCCCCCCCCCTCCCCCCCCCCCCCCCCGCAATGTGTCTTCTCCTTCCTTGGCCTGCTGAAGGCCCCTTTTCACGGCAGCAGAAGAGCAGGTTGCGCACGACCTGGAGCCACTCCTGTCCCGTCCCCCATCCCCCACCACTGTTCTTGTCCAGGGATGGAAGGCCAGGCCTGCACCTCCCCTCTCTCCGCTGAGTCCAGGGGATGGGACGTATTGCCACGGGGCGGTGGCTTCACACTCCTTGTTGATCCTGACCCTTTCTGGTTTTGCCGAATCAGCTGGCGGCCCTGAGGAATGAGATCGAGGTGCGGATGAAGAAGAGCGTGAAGGAAGGCTGCACGGTCAGCTCCCAGGTAAGGCCCGGCGGCAGGCGGCACTCACCCTTGCTGGGATTCTGCCCCACTCGCGCAGGAGGGTGGGGGCTGGCCCTGCTCCAGAAATGGCAGCTGGCACCGGGAGGGCTTGGCGGGGCTCTCTTCAGAGCAGGGAGCGCTCCTGAGAAGCCATTGGGGGGGGCAAACTCCTCCTCCTCCCCTGTCTGTTCTCTTACAGACCATCTCCCTCAACGTGAAAGGCCCCGGCCTGCAGAGGATGGTGCTGGTGGATTTGCCAGGCGTCATTAGCGTGAGTACCCACCGTGGCCGAGGCTTACTGCTGGCACCGCTGGCATTGCCCGGGGGCTAGCTTGCTGCCTTGCATGGGGGAGACGACGGATTTGGGTCCCAGTTCAGCCACAGATACGTGGGACTTGCTGGCGCGTTGCTCTGTCTGCCGCTGCTCCCCAGCTGTAAAGCGGTGTGATTCTGGCCTCTGTCGCGCAAGGTTGCCGTGGGAACGAAGGGGGAAAGGATCGTGTGGAAGAGCTGTGTGGACCGAGCAGGGCATCGCAGGCTGAGAAGAATGTTGGCGGGTGGGCAGAGCCACGGGGACGGTTGAGGCTGGAGGTGGTGGGGGGGGGGTGGGGGGGGGGGGGGGGACTCTGCCGCAGGGCTGGATGAGGAAAGCCGAGGCTTTGTGGCGTCCAGGGAGGGGCTGGGTTTTCTGGACCCTCGGAGCTGTGCTCTGCCCTCTGTTGCCTGGGCCCTTTTCAGTCGCTTGGGGGCAGCCTTCTGAGGTCACAGTCCACAGCAGTGTTCCCTCTCAGCTGAGTGAGTGTGAGCTAGCTCACACGTTTTTAGCCTCCAGCTCACACGTTCTTATCTTCGTTCAAGAAGGAGGGCTCCAGAGCAAACAAATTCATGCAGTAGCCAAATGGCTCGCTCGCAACTTGAATGCCAGTCACTCACCAAGTAGGATTTTTTGCTCACAAACTTAGAGGGAACATTGGTCCACAGTGCTCGTCCTTCTACCCACTCACTTGGTGTAGCGGTTAAGTGCGCGGACTCTAATCTGGGAGAACCGGGTTTGATTCCCCACTCCTCCACTTGCACCTGCTGATGTGACCTTGGGTCAGTCACAAGCTCTGGCACAGCTGTCCTTGAAAAAGAGCAGTTTGGGTCAGAGTTCTCTCAGCCCCACCCACCTCCCAGGGTGTCTGTCTGTTGTGGGAAGGGGAAGGGAAAGGAGTTTGTAAGCCGCTCTGGGACTCCATGTGAAGGGCGGGGTAGAAATCCAATCTCTTCTTCTCTTCTTCTTCAATAGGAGCAGAAGTAATAGGTCTCAACAACAGGGGTGCCTGTTTCATTTTGATGAACATCTTTGGGCGCTGGGGGATTTGGGGGGGGTGTTTTAATTTTGACTGTAATTGAAAATGTTTCTCAATGAGGAATGGCGGGATATAAATGTTTTCATGAATAAATACAGGCAGTTTTCACCCTGAAAGTGGCTGCTGTGAGCGGCTTCAGAATCACCCGTCTTGGATGATTTGGGGAGGCTGGGGCTCGTCTGCCAGGGATCGCACACTTCGGTGACCCCCACCCCCTTCCCCCAAGGTCTACAAAGGCAGTTGTTTGCCTCTTTGCAGACGGTGACGTCGGGGATGTCTCCAGACACCAAGGAAACCATCTTCAGCATAAGCAGAGCCTACATGCAGAACCCAAACGCCATCATCCTGTGCATTCAAGGTACATGTGGAGACCAGACTATAAGCAGGGCGCATCTCTTTTGTGTGGAGGTCCCACCTGCTCTCGGCCAGTGCCTTGCTGTGCTCTGGATTGGGGGGGCTAAGTGGGGGGCTGTCTTGGCACAGCTGGTTTTTTCTTCTGTCCAGCTGTGTGAATCTGCTACTGAGCCTTATTAGCTTCATACTAAATCAGACCACCGGTCGCTCGGGATCAGTCCTGTCTACTCAGATTGGCAGCCGCTCTCCTGAGTCTCAGTCAGAGGCCTTTTCACATCAACTCCTACCTGACCCTTGAACTGGAGGTGCCGCTGGGGATTGGACCAGGGACCCTCTGCGTGCCAAGCAGGTCCTCTGCCACTGAGCCACGGACCTTCCCCATTTGCTGGTTCCAGAAGTCGAACCCTTGAGGCCTGTTTTGCATTGAGCCGTTTCCAGCTGCAGATGAGCTCAGCTCCTGCCCTCTTTTGAACATGTTGTGTATTCTGCACTCAGGGCAATCAAGATCTTTGCTTTCACTTTTCTTTCCCAGATGGGTCCGTGGATGCCGAGCGCAGCATCGTCACCGACTTGGTCAGCCAAATGGATCCGCAGGGGAAGAGGACGATCTTTGTCTTGACAAAGGTGGACCTGGCAGAGAAGAACGTGGCCAGCCCAAACAGGGTGAGAGAAGAAGGAGACTTCCATTGATGCTCTGCCTTCTTGGTGCTGGGGGTGGGTCAACAGTGGGAGGGCTCCTAGTGTCCTGGCCCCAATGCTGGACCTCCTGATGGCACCCGGTATTTCTGGCCACAGTGTGACACAAGAGTGTAGGACTGGACGGGCCATTGGCCTGATCCAACACTGGCTTCTCTCTTATGTTCTTATGGATAAACATATGGAGCAGAGGTCCATCAGTGGCTATTAGCCACAAGGCATAGATAGGAACTCTCGGTCTGGGGCAAGTGATGCTCTGTATTCTTGGTGCTTGGTGGGGGGGGCAACAGTGGGAGGGCTTCTAGTGTCCTGGCCCCACTGCTGGACCTCCTGATGGCACCCGGTATTTTTGGCCACTGTGTGACACAGAGTGTTGGACTGGATGGGCCATTGGCCTGATCCAACACTGGCTTCTCTTATGTTCTTATAAGAGGGAACTGGATAAACATATGGAGCAGAGGACCATCAGTGGTTCTTAGCCACAAGGTATGGAGAGGAACTCTCAGTTGGCGGCAAAGGATGCTCTGTATTCTTGGTGCTTGGGGGGGGGGGGCAACAGTGGGAGGGCTTCCAGTGTCCTGGCCCCGCTGCTGGACCTCCTGAGGGCACGTGGTCCTTTTGGCCCCTGTGTGACCCAGAGTGTTTGACTGGATGGGCCTTTGGCCTGATCCAACATTGGCTTCTCTGCTGTTCTGATGTTTATCCAGCTGATGCCTCTCAAGGAAGTGCTGGCCTGCCTGTGCGACAGCCGAGGAGGGCACAGTGTGGGCCGGTGCATCTGACAGGAGCCTTTTGTGGCTTTGGATTCACAGGACTAGTAGCACTAAGTGGGTGACACAACTTCCTTGGATGTCAGTCCTGCTCTGGCAGTAAAGGCACTTAAAGGGGTGTGTCCTCTCCTTTGTATGGTCAACTCTTGCCTATCTTGGCTTGTGACATTTAATGGGGGGGGGGGGGGGCAGAGGGGGGGGGGGGGGACAGAAGTGGGTAAGTGATCCCAGATGATATGAAGGAGAGGGTCCTCCTTCGACTCTTATGATTTTGCTAACTACTGTTATCTGTGCTAATTTTAGAGAAAGCCAGTCTAGAAATTTTAAAATGAATAAGAACAAGTGATCACAGATGGTCCCATTTGGGGAAAGGTGTTTTATTTAGTTCCCGGGTGAAACTGATTGTCTGTCCCCAGTCTCGCGTACATTCTGGTTCTGTCCTAGAAAGCCCCGCGCAGTCTAGGACTGGGACGTCTGTGTAGCGTCCCTGGGGACTTCAGGCACCAGTCCCTTTGAACCGTGCTGTTCTTTCCCCTTCTTGTTTTCCTGCTGTTGCCTCCCTGTCTTACTCAACATTTTAACCTCTTGTTTAAACTGTACTCAGTTTCCTGTGTGCGCGAGAGAGAGAGAGAGAGAGAGAGAGAGAATGCTACTTTCACGTTGTCTTAGAGAAGCCCAGTCTCTCTAAAACCATTTTAATTGTTTGGGTAGGCCAGGCATGTTGTGGTGTTTGCTTTCATAGGCTCGGGCAGAACCCTGCCCTTCCCCCTCCCCCCCCCCCAAGGGAAAGGGTCCCCTCCAGGAAGGTGCTTCCTGCCCGGTCCTCTCCTCCTGCACGGAGGCTTTGGGTGTTTGAGTGCAGAAGGCAGCTGCAGGGGGTCAGCCCTGTCTCGTCCCTGTTCTTCCCAGATCCAGCAGATCATCGAAGGCCAGCTCTTCCCCATGAAGGCTCTGGGGTATTTCGCAGTTGTGACTGGAAAAGGTAACCAGCGCTCGCTTCCGGCCTGTTGGGGGGAGGAGAGGGGTTGTGGCAGGCCGGTGGTGGTGGTGGGGGGAGCGACAATTCCAGCCCTTTCCCAAACACTCTCTTTTGCTGTCTCTAGGAAACAGCAGTGAGAGTATTGAGTCTATTCGAGAGTACGAAGAGGAATTTTTCCAGAACTCCAAGCTGCTGAAGTATGCCAGTCTTTTATCGCTTTCCATAAATGTTTCCTGTGGCCAAATCAGGCACAGTGGGGCCTCAGCCATTTCAGTCTGCCAAGCAACGGGGCCCGTGTGGTTGGGGGCAGCTCCCCCCCCCCTAAAAAAAAGTTTGTGCCTTTTCTCCAGGGGATCTTCCTTTAAACGGTCGCAGATCCTTCACTGCAATGGGACACTTTGAGTCACGAGAGCACCCGAAGGTTGCTTCTGTGCCAGTCCCTGAACCCAGACACCAGCCCTGCAGAAACAGCCGTCTGTAAGGGCAGATGTTACATTTCCTCCAGGATTCGGGTCGTTCTCGGTGGCCTGTAATCCAGCATGGGCTTCCGCGCAGCCCGGTCCTTGTGAATGGCTCTGGCTGGGGTGAGAGTCCACCCTCTTGTGAGCATCTCCCTCACCCGGGGAGTGCAGTGAGCCCCCCCCCCCTGGCCGCCCTTGTGTCTCGGACTAGGGAGGGGAGGCGGACTGTGTTCCCTGGACTTGTCCTGTGAACAGGTCTGCACGATGCTGGAGACAAGCTTTCTCCCTCTGAGGAAGTGTCTGTCCTGAGGACCACAGATTTTGGCTGGCTGCTGCTGCTGCACGCCAGAACCCTTGGGATTCCTTCCGTCACAGGCGTTTTCCCCTGAAAGGGAATTAAAATCCATGAGCCAGTTGGGTGTCGTGGTTAAGTGCACAGACTCTAATCTGGGAGAACTGGGGTTTGATTCCCCACTCTTCCACTTGAACCCTCTGGATGACCCTGGGCAAGCCGTAGTTCTGGTCAGAGCTGTCCTCGAAAGGGCAGTTTTCTCTCAGAGCTCTCTCAGCCCCACCTTCCTCACAGGGTGTCTGTTGTGGGGAGGGGAAGGGAAAGGGGGTTGTAAGCCGCTCTGAGACTCCCAAGTGAAGGGCCATGGGGTATAAATCCAATCTCTTCTTCTTCTTCTGGTGGCCAAGGAGGACAATGAGTGTGAGTTGCCTGCCTTGGGCATTTGGGGGGGGAGGGCAGGGGAGTGGGTGCTGCTGCGTGTGCACAGTGCCAGAGGCTGCGTGCCTCCTGCTCATCAGAACGCCCCCTCTGGGCTGCTGAGCCTCCCGCCGAGCCAGACCTCTTTGCCTGTGCAGGAAATGCATGCTGAAGGCCCACCAGGTGACGACGCGTAACCTGAGCCTGGCCGTGTCCGACTGCTTTTGGAAGATGGTGCGAGAGTCCGTGGAACAGCAAGCCGATGCTTTTAAAGGTAGGAGGGGGGGTGGCTGGTTCCGCAGAAATGCACCTTGGGCCGAGGAGGAAGGGCCCTCCAGCTTAAACCCTCACGGGGATTCCGGCACATGGACTGTCCCTTGCGGCTCCAGGGCCACTACCTTTCTAGCTGCGGGTGGGGGGGAGTAGCACCAGGCCCGTCTCCGCTCTCTTGGTTTCTCTCTGCACTGACCAGCAGAAGAGCTGCTGCTACGCGTGAGCGGGTTCAGTAAGGAAGGGGATATTTATTCATTTATCATATCTATATCCCGCCCTCCTGTTGACAGGCTCAGGGCGGCTCACGTTTACCGAAACCATGTGCCCGGTCAGCATAAAACATTTAAAAACAAGTTAAAATCTTACAAACAGTTAGTGCTCGCCGTTAACATTCTTCAGGAGATTAAGGTGGTGTATTAGTAGAGGTTGTCTTGCCATCCCAGCTCAACGGTGCTATCCGTCTCCCGTGACGCTGCGGCTCGATCTCAGTTCAAGGCCATCCCGCCACCGCAGATGTTAGTGATGGTGATAGTTGGTGGTCGTGGTGGGTGGCTCCTAGTTGTAAGCCTGGCGGAAGAGCTCCATCTTGCACGCCCTGCGGAACTGTATTCTTCCTCAGTGCCACAAAGGGCTGCGTGGGTGCGTCACGTGTAATGCAAGAAGAGGGCCAGGGCTTTCTCTGCCCCGGCCCCAGCCTGGTGGAACAGGCTCCCTATGGAGACCAGGGCCCCTGTGGGATCTCCTTCAGTTCCGCTGGCCTCCCTGAGGGGGTTGTCCACCCATCTGTCGCCGTCTGTCACCTGTCTACTGACCACCGACAACTGGCCTTTAACTCATGGTACCATCGGGCCAGAACTTTATAGCCAACTGTTCCAAGCTGTGCCCATTGTTTTAATTGCTATAATGTTTTATCGTGTTTTAATGTGTAATGTTTTAAACTGAGATTGTATTTATTCTAATGATGTTACCCACCCTGAGCCTGCCTGCGTGATGGGCAGGATATAAATGCAAATAATCCATCCATCCGTCTTGGGGAATCCTGGCGTGGCCACTTGGCATTGCCCGGGGGGGGGGGGGTCCCGGGTCTGTGCCTCAGAGCTTCACCGGAGTGCAGCCTCTCCCCCCGCTGCGGAACTCAGGATGGCAAAAGTCCACTGAGCAATGGCAGGGCGGGTATTTGGCATGCTGCAGATTCCGGGTTCAGATCCTCCGCAGTCTGGAGACTTCAGGGAGCAGGAGCTGGGGAAGAGGCAGGAGAGGCCCTGGGGAGCCTCTGCCAGCTGGCAAAGGCAGTGCGGAGCCCGTTGGGCCAAGTCTGGCTCCCCTCCGGTGCTGCTCCAGATGACCTTGGAGGGGGTGGGGGGTGTCTGTCTGTGCCCTCATCATCGTGCAGCTGGGGGGGGGGGGGGCAGAACAGCTTAAAGAGGCTGCCCGGGGGGTGGGATTTGTGTTTGGGGCCACAGGCCTCGCCCTTTGCCATGTGTGTGTTTTTTCCCCTTCTTTAACATAGTTGAAGCCTCAGCCCCATAGTGGTAAAATGCTGATCCTTCAGGGACAACCATCGTATGGAAGTTCTGGGGTATACTGACCCTGGAGCACGCCTTGTGTCATCGTAGCATTTACCGTCTTGGCTGGGATAACCCCCGAAATGTTCTGGTCACCCATGATGCCTTTCTGACAAAATATGGCGTCTGCCGAAGAGAGCTTTGACTCTGGGAAGCTCATACCCCTTCTCCCCCCACCCAAAAAAAAAAAGTCTTGTTGCTCTCTGAGGCTCCCCAGGACTTGAATCTGGATGCTCTACAGCAGACCCCCATGGCTGCCCTCTGGAACAAATGTATTCCTGATGGCTCTTGTTATTTCATGGTGGAGTGAGTGGTGGCTTCCGGGCACTGCTCCTGTAGTCAAGGGGGGAAGGCTACAAGGGTACAGTTCTGCACACTGGAAGGGGGGACAGTGGAGGGCCCTCATGTGTGTGTGTGCCCCGTCTCCCCCCCCCCCCTTGCTCTCTTCCTGCAGCAACACGTTTTAATTTGGAGACGGAGTGGAAGAACAATTACCCCCGCTTGCGAGAACTCGACCGGGTAAGTCTTGTGAGCCCTATATATTGTATTCTGGGTTTTTGGGGGGGGGGGGGTTACAAACAGGGGAAAAAATACATATACATATACTCTAATACAATTATACATATAATACAGACGATCATCTTACATAAACATAGGCATGAACATAGACAATCATTTATGGTCATCTACTTTATCTACCTTCTCTAATTCCTACATAAACTACAGTAGCTATGCTGATCGTGAGCCAGTCTAGACTTCCTTCTGGAAGCCCCGTACGTGGCCTCACCTTAAAGTCCATGGGAAGCCCTACCTCTTGCTGCTTCCTGTAATTCAGAGGCAGAGCAATGGCATACGGTTCCAGGTTCGGCCCTTGGCAACTTAGGTTAAAATGGGAGTCTTGTGTGTTCGATTGGAAAAGAGTCTGTCAAAAGCCCTGGAGCTCTTGAGACACCCAAGAACACAAAGTTGTGGGCCAGACTAAATCCATATTTTGCAGCCTTAAATTCTTAAGATAATCTCTATCAATGGCCTTAATTTCTTTTTTTCCATCTAGAACGAGCTATTTGAAAAAGCAAAGAACGAAATCCTTGACGAAGTCATAAGCTTGAGCCAGGTGACACCAAAGCACTGGTACAGTAATTAATACATCCTCTGTCTGTTTTAGTTCTGTGGTGCGGCAGGATGTGAAGATTAGAACAGAATGCCAAAAGTGCTCTGTGACCCTGTAGTCGTGCAATGCACCCTTTCTAATCCATCTGGAATCCACCGTCCACCCCCATAAAATGTTTTAATAGCTTTAGATGTCTGATCGAGTATGATGACTCCTGGCCATTTTGTAGCCAACAAGCAGTTTTGAGTACTCTTAGTGGAAATCCCGATAGGTTGTTAACTGCTCTGGTTCCGGGAATTATGGCAGTGAACAGACAGGATGTGTGTCTCTGTGTGTTTTCTAAATATGTACTAAATATAATTCTGATTTTGCTTCCTAAGAAACGCTCAGTTTGACTTCATGTGTACCATTTGCAAATTAAGCAAAACTGCATGGGTGGCAATTTTGCATAATAGCATTAAATTCTGCAGACCTTCCGATTGCTGAGATTCTTGGGTATGGCCACAAGGGGAGGGGGCTGTGGCTCAGTGGGAGAGCCTCTGCCTGGCATGCAGGAGGTCCCAGGTTCATTTCCCAGCATCTCCAGTTAAAAGGATCAGGCAGAAGGTGATGGGAAAGACCTCCACCTGAGACCCAGGAGAGCTGTAAAGAGGGGCCGTGGCTCAGTGGCAGAGCCTTTGCCTGGCATGCAGGAGGTCCCAGGTTCAATCCCCGGCATCTCCAGTTAAAAGCACCAGGCAGGAGGTGATGGGAAAGACTCCACCTGAGACCTGGGAGAGCTGTAAAGAGGGGCCGTGGCTCAGTGGCAGAGCCTCTGCTTGGCATGCAGGAGGTCCCAGGTTCAATCCCCGGCATCTCCAGTTAAAAGGACCAGGCAGGAGGTGATGGGAAAGACCTCTGCCTGAGACCCTGGAGAGCTGTAAAGAGGGGCTGTGGCTCAGTGGAAGAGCATCTGCATGGCATGGAGAAGGTTCCAGGTTCAATCCCCGGCATCTCCCGTTAATTGGACCAGGCAGGAGGTGATGGGAAAGACCTCCGCCTGAGACCCGGGAGAGCTGCTGCCAGTCTGAGTAGGCAGCACTGACCTTGATGGACCGAGGGAGGTCTGATTACTGTCAGGCAGCTTCGTGTCCGTTCACGTGAAGGGGAGCCACGCAGAGCATTCCTCAAGGAAGTTTGTTTCCGGCAAGGAGCGTGAGCAGTCCCGTGTTTCCCCCTTACGGATTCTGCCTATTCCATGATTCCTTTGCCAGGTCAGGTCAGGTCGTGACTGAGTGCAGGGTAGGAGGCATTTGCGGGATGGTCTGTTGTATATATATTTTTTTAATCTGCTTTGGGCCAGAGACCCCTCCAAAACCTCGTTTGGGCAAAAAAAAAAAAAACCACAATAGCACCTGTCACGTATTTTTAATTTCCAAGATGCTGCATTCTAAGTCCTCATAAATAAATTTTAGAAGATGCCTGTTCCACGTTTTGAAGGGTGGAGCCAGCCTGAGCCCTTCTGTGCCTCGGCCATCTTCCGTTAAGCGTAGTTTGGGGGAGCGCAGAGGTCCGTGGCAGCAGTGAAGCCACGGCTGGGGGTCAGAGGCTTGCTCCTGATGAAGGGGTGGAAGAAAATCTCTGGCGACCCTGCTGGAGGGCCCTGGCAGGCCTGAGCGTGAAGCAGGGCAGGGGTCTCCTCCCTTCCACCGGCCCCACTTTTGACCCTCCCAGGGTGTTCACAGCTTTCATGCTTCCAAAATGCCATTTTCGTCACTCCTTTGCCAGTTTGGTGTCGTGGTTAAGTGCAGGCGGACTCTCATCTGGGAGAACCGAGTTTGATTCCCCACTCCTCCTCCACTGGCACCTGGCTGGGTGACCTTGGGCAAGCTGTGGTTCTGATAAGAGCTGTCCTTGAAAAAAGAGCCGTTTCTGTCAAGAACTCTCTCAGCCCCACCCACCTCCCAGGGTGTCTGTTGTGGGGAGGGAAAGGGAAAGGAGTTTGTCAGCCGCTCTGAGACTCCTTTGGGTAGTGAAGGGCGGGGTATCAATCCAATCTCTTCTTCTTCTTCCTAGTGCAGGAGCCTGAGAGTTGCATCGACATTTTGAGGGGGAGGGCTGGTGGTTTCTGCTCTGGAGCAAGCATTTCTCCCGAAGTCAGCCTTTTGCTCAGCTGTCGGGATGGGGCAGTGAGTGCGTGCAATTCCTCCCGCCCCTTAGGGAAGAGATTCTCCAGAAGTCCTTGTGGGAGAGAGTCTCAACACACGTGATAGAGAACATCTACCTTCCAGCAGCACAGACCATGAATTCGGGGACGTTTAACACCACGGTGGACATCAAGCTGAAGCAGTGGACGGACAAGCAGCTGCCCAACAAAGCGGTGGAGGTGAGCCTGCCCTTGGCCACGCGAGGGTTTGACTTGCCGAGGGAGCCTCCCCCGGATATGGCATCTGGTGGCCTTTTCAGTGCTCTGCGCCAAGCCGGGTGGAATGCGCACAAAGGTGGTTCCGGTGCTCTCGTCACACCACGCGGGTAGGGGCAGGAAGTTCAGCGTTCTTGCAGTGTTCTGGAAATGTGATCCAGTGGCTTGCCGCAGGTGGTGGAGGCCGGAGGTGTTGGCGGCTGCGTTGGATACTTCGGCGCTGCCTCCCTTCCAGCTTGAGCAGCTAGAATGCTGAGGCCTAGTCCCTCTTCCCTGTGGCGGGCCTGATGCAGAGAGAGGAACCATTGCTCTCGAGCGATGAGATCCGAAAGCCTTTCTTCATGTCTGCCCTCCTCTCTGGTTGCTTCTGAAGGCGGGACTTTGTCGCCCTCTTTCCAGGTGGCTTGGGAGACTCTGCAGGAGGAATTCTCTCGCTTCATGACGGAGCAGAAGGGCAAGGAACACGACAATATTTTTGACAAACTGAAGCAGGCGGTGAAAGAGGAGAGCATCAAACGGCACAAGTGGAACGAAAGAGCAGAAGACAGTCTGGTAGGACCTTGCCTTCTCTCGGTGGCAATTTAAGCTGCTTAGCGAAAGGAGGTGGCCGCTTCTCTCCTGCTTCTCTAGTGCCGTTGGCCGCGGTGCTTGAGGATTCTCATCCATGTCGTGTCCAATGTTCCCTGTAAGCGGTGGAGTCTTGTGAGCAAAAATTCTGCTTTGTGAGCTCCTGGCATTAAAGATGTGAGTGAGCGATTTGGCTACTCCATAAACAAAAATGTGTGAGCCGGAGGCTAAAAAACTGTGCTCTAGCTCACACTAACTCAGCTTAGAGGGAACACTGGACTCGTGTCCTAGCTGAAGCATCATCTTTTTTGTTTTGTTTTGCTTTTAAAACCGTAACTTCAGGTATTGGAGGGGGGAGTTCAACCCAGTGGTTAGGTTGACGTCTCCATTTCTGAAAACTTGTAAGGCCAACTGGACAAATGAAACTAATATCCTCATGTAAAGCGCCTCTGTGTTGGCCAGTCGGCTTGCATGTGTCGGAGGCAATTCTGCAGTCTCTCCGTACACGGCGTCCTGAGAAGTGAATACAGGTCCCGGGATTCTGTGTTTCCACTCGGAGGTTGCTACTGGAACTCCTCAGAGGTTGCTACTGGAACAGCCATTTTGGCTCTCACTGTGGCTCCCTATCAAGCATTTCCGTTACCTGCAGAGATGCTGAATGGCCCGTGTTCCCGCACTTGTGGGACTCCCTTGCCCTTATGCTTAGCTGCAGCCTCCCTCAGCGGGCCAGGGACTGAGCAGAAACTGGCCCTTATGCTTGCTGTGTGCATTGACAGAGAGTGATCCAGCACAACACCTTGGAAGACCGCTCCATCTCCGACAAGCAGCAGTGGGACGCGGCCATTCAGTTCATGGAGGAAACGCTTCAGAGTCGCCTGAAGGACAGTAAGTGCCATCGAGCAGGGGGGTGCTGACCCTTGTTCTCCTGGGCGGACTGGAGATCTAGCAGGGCAGTATTGGGCAGACGCTCCCTCGCTGCTTGATCACTGCAGACGAGGTTGTTTCCGCCATGCTGAAGCCACAATCGGAGTGGCTCCGCCCACTCCCCCCCCAAGCAGTCTCCTGTTCCCTCCCTCACACTAGTTGCTCACTGGCCGCATAAGAACCCTGGAGGGGCCAGTTCCGGCCCCCGGGCCTTACGCTTGACACCCCTGCTATAGATGTATGAGGAAGACTACTCTTCATGTCAGAAAGGGGCATAGAGCCTAATAAACCGGAGAAGAAGAATAAATCCCTACAGAGAATAGCTGTGGCTGGAAATGCCAGGCCCTAAAGGCAGCTTACTATGGGGGACCCTATACCGTTGGACCCCTGACCAGGACTCTGGGGGTGTTGGAGCAGAGGAGAAACAGAAGCAACCCATCAGAACAGCTTTGGGCAAACGCCTGGGTGAGAAGAATGACTTTGGCCTGTAAAAAGGCTGTGGAGGAGACACCAGGCAAAGCCTCGGCCTTCCCCGGGCAAGGTGTTCCTACTGGGGAAAGGCCCTGACTGTCACAGCCGCCTGTCTCGCTCTGCAGGGTACAGGGAGCTGGGCTTGAGGAGAACCCATTTACGTTATCCTCAGTCTGGAAGCTGTGGCACCTTCATGACCAACAAAGTTTAATTCTGAGTATAAGCTTTCGTGTGCATGCACATGAAAGCTTATACCCAGAATCAGATAAAGGTCCTTGTTCTTAGTCTGATATTTATGTGCGGGCAAGATAATCCAGTTATAAGTTATTGCTGTATCACAACAATAGTGCAGTCTCTAAAAGCCACGGGGGTGGGTGGGGGAGCCGAGTGTGCATGTGGTTTGTGGTCTGCGGACTCGTGAGAAGAGTGAGAGTGGGTATTTGTGCGTCTGCTCTGTTCATCATGTCCGCATATCAAAAGTTGTGCATCAGCGTGCATCTGCTACAATGCAGGTTAATGCTTTTTTAGGACATTACAAATAGCAGTGGTCACAGTGAGGGGAAAAATGAAGGTGGGTGATTTAATTTCAAATTAGGTCACAAATATAGATGGCTCTGAAAGGGGAGCTTGGGTGGAGTCGAGTAAGAGAGGTCCATCAGTGGCCACTAGCCATGTTGATTAAAGGGAATCTCCATATCCAGGGGCAGCAGTAGACTTCTGACTCCCAGGTTTGGGAGGCAGCATCAGGAGAAGGCCTCGTCCACTGTGCCCCATTTGGCCCTTCTGAACAGCCAGTTGGCCACTGTATGAGGCAGGGTGCTGGACTAGATGGACCCTCACTGGTCTGATCCAGCAGGGCTCTTCTTTGATCCTTATCAGGGAACAGCTCAGCCTCTCTGCCCTGTTGCTGGCCCTCCAGAGGAACTGGCTGGCCCCTGTGTGAGACGGGAGGCTGGACTAGATGGACCCTCACTGGTCTGATCCAGCAGGGCTCTTCTTTGATCCTTATCAGGGAACAGCTCAGCCTCTCTGCCCTGTTGTTGGTTGGCCACTGAGTGAGACAGGATGCTGAACTAGATGGACCCTCCCTGCTCTGACCCAGCAGGGCTCTTCTGACATTCTTTGGGCCAGACTCAGCTTAGCGTGTTGGCCATTTGTATATTCTCATTTTTTTGATAGCATCCACTTATTTCCTTAGATAGTACGTATTCTGCTTTCCACAGTCAGATACCTTCTCAAAGTGACTTAATGAACGCTTCCCACCCCCCTCAAATGGGCAGCTCCAAAACAGGGCAACCTGGGACCATTCTTGCTTGGAACTCACCCCGGGGGGGGGCGGGCGCCCCCCCCCCCCCCCCCCCAGCCCGAGCCAAACCAGACCTCTGTCCTTGAAGCCGCCGGTCCCCGCAGGGCTGTGTGGCTGCAGGGGAAGATATTTGGGTCCAGGGAACCCAGAACAAACGTGACGTGTGGCTTTGCTGTCCCAGAGGTTGGCAAAGGAGCTATTTTTTAAAATCAACTTCTGCTGGTCCCCTTGACAAAAAAGAAAAAAAAAACAACCCACAAAAGATACCTGGTTGGGGTGGGGCGTAGGCTGGAGGAGGGGGCATAATTTCAGTAGAGAAAAACTGAGAAAAGGTTTTTTATGGCCCTGTGCGTTCTGGTGTCTTAACTCAGCTCTCCCTTTTTATATATATACATATATATGTATATATTTGTATATGTATGTATATGTATGTATATATTTTTAATTTAATATATGAACATACAATGCGCATTTAAAAAATTACAAAAAAGAATTTAGATAGGTACAATTAAATTGAACAATTAACACACAGCTTCTCCAACAATGCCATATTATTGAACAGAGCAATACCAAACCCAAAGTTAACACAAAATCAAAAAGTTATCTAAACTTCCACACCTTAATATCTAACCCCATGTTCCGATGGCTAGTAAAACATATATAATGACATGGCATTTATCCATTGTTTACATGGCCTGTGCATCATAAATTTGTTTTGTTTAACTCATAAAATATTCCACTTGTCCATAGAACTGGTGGAGATTTTTACTGAGCTACGCTGGGCAGTCCAGTCGGAAATCTTGTCATCGATCAGATAATCCCATAACTTAGTGTTTGTACCATTGATCTATGGTGGGAACAGCCTGGGTTTTCCAGTGCTTTGCAATAGTGCACTTGGCCGCAGTTAGTAGTGACGAAATCAGTTCTCTTACCGACTTTCGGATACTAGTTTCAGGTTACCAACGGTGAGAGGCCATTCTCCCCCCCCTCCCCCCGGTTGTCTCTTGGGCCCCTCAGCAGCCAAGATTCCTGTCTCAGACGGTAGGACTCCTGTTGGAAGAGCCCCCCGAGTCCAGTGTGCCTCTTCCATCCCCCTGCTCTGATGGCGCACGCTCCTTTCTCGCTCTCCTGGGCTCTCTGTCAACACCACAGGTCCCCTTAGACCCAGTAACCTGCTGTGTTGCAGCTGTTCTCTGCAGAAGCCCCAAATTGCTCACAGCAGAAGGAAGGGGGAGCCGCAGACCATCGCTGCCTTCATTCGAAGATCCCCTCTCTAGTGGTTAAGTGTCCAGTCTCTAATCTGGGAGCACCGGGTTTGATTCCCCACTCCTCCACTTGCACCTGGCTGGATGGCCTTGGGCAAGCCGTAGTTCTGATAAGAGCTGTCCTTGAAAAAAGAGCCGTTTCTGTCAAGAGCTCTCTCAGCCCCACCTACCTCACAGGTTGTCTGTTGTGGGGAGGGGAAGGGAAAGGAGTTTGTGAGTTGTGAGACACCTTCGGTTAGTGAAGTAAAGGTAAAGGTTCCCTTGCTCAAAAGCCAGTCGAGTCCGACTCTAGGGTTGCAGTGCTCATCTCCATTTCAAAGCCGAAGAGCCAGCGCTGTCCGAAGACATTTCCGTGGTCATGTGGCCGGCATGACTAAACACCAAGGCGCACGGAACGCTGTTACCTTCCCACCGAAGTGGTACCTATTTATCTACTTGCAATTTCTTGCTTTCCAACTGCTAGGTTGGCAGGAGCTCGGACCAGAGACGGGAGCTCACTCCGTCATGCGGCACACTTGGGTCTCGAACTGCTGAACTACCGACCTTCCACAGCCTGCAGTTCAGCGTCTTAACCACTTTAGCCACCGCAGCTCCTGGGTAGTGAAGGGCCATGGGGTATAAATCCAATCTCGTCTTCTTCTTCTCCACCTGGCCCCTCGTGTGACTCAGCGTCTGGCTCCCTCCTGGGGCAACGGGAATCGCAGTCTCTCTGGAACTGCTGTTCTGCGTGTTAACTTGCAACGTACCAGCTTGTCTGTGTGTGTTTTTTCGTCTAGCTGAATCGGTCATTGAAGACATGGTGGGCCCAGACTGGAAAAAAAGGTGGCTCTACTGGATGAGCCGCACTAAAGAACAGGTAAGAGGAAGTGGAAACATTGTGCCGGGTGTTTCTCAAGCTGAGCCCCGCTTGTGCGGAGATGCTGACTGGCTCCCTGCCAGCCTGCTGTTTGTTCCCCATCCTGCGTTTCTGGCCTGTCAAAGAAAGCTCACACTGGGGAGGAGGGGGCAGAGCTGAGTAATCAGATCTAGGAGTTGGGTGTGCGTTACTTGGGTGCGCCTGTGTCTGCGGGAGACTCTCAGGGCCCCTGAGAGCAGAAAGATTCACACCAGTGGTGGACTGCAAGCCCTCCCATCCTTACAAGGCCAGACTGATAACGCCGTCTAGCTGAGCCAGCTCCCACAGTCTCCGAGGCAATGTTTACACAAAGCTGCTAAGCTGCGAGCAAGCGGGAATGGAAGGACAGAGGCAACATAAAATGGCAGCTAGCTGACAGTAGGGCTCAGTCTCCAGACCCCCAATCATCCTCCTCGCTCTCTTCTGGACCCTCTCGGTTTTGCCCACGTCCTTTCTGAAGTGAGGCCTCCAGAACTGCACACAGGAGGACTCCAGGTGCGGCCTGACCAAGGCAGTCTATGGAGGGTTATATGACCTCCTGCGATTTCGATGCTGTGGCCCTTTTGATACAACCCAAGATGCAGAGGGAAACCTTCCTGATAGGGATCCTCCTAGTGCAAACTTATTTTGGAGGCCGGGCAGGGGGTGAAGCCATCCTGCCGTATCTCCGCGGCTGTGCGGTGGCTGTGGTCAGCCTTGGGCAGAAAGGGGCCCTGGTGAGAAACTTCCCCAGAGACTCATTCATTCGGGAGGGTTCACCTTTCTGCCCTGGGCTGGCTTTTTAGTGACGGGGCCATGGGATGGAAGCAGGAAGGCTAGAAGAGCTCAAAACACGGGCCGGCTTGTTAGGATCTGGCCTTGTCTGGAATTCTGTTGGGCGCCCCGACATATAAATAGCATTAAAAATTCCTTGTTATTCTCCCTGCACTCCCACGCTGAAAGTGAGAGCGGGGTAACTAAAGATGTTTCTTTTTACCGAAGGTCATTCGTAACGAAACAAAAAATGAACTTGAGAAGATGATCAAGTGCAATGAAGAACATCCGGCGTATCTTGCAAACGACGAGGTCACGACCGTCCGGAAGAATCTAGAGGCCCGAGGGGTGGCTGTCGACCCGTGCCTGGTAAGGGCACCTGCCCAGAGGGAGGTCTGTGGCTCGAGGGTTGGCTTGCGGGTATGGGAGCATCCGGGGGGGGGGGCTTGAGGGGCAGCCACGGAGCACCCCTCAGGGCTTGTTCCTCTGAGTGTTGGTGTGTCTCCTTGCTTGCCAGTTTGGTGTCGTGGTTAAGTGCGTGGACGCTAACCTGGGAGAACCAGGTTTGATTCCCCACTCCTCCACTCGCTGCTGCTGGATGACCTTGGGCAAGCCGTAGTTCTGTCAGAGCTGTTCTTGAAAAAGAGCCGTTTCTGTCAGGGCTCTCTCAGCTCCACCTCCCTCACAGGATGTCTGTCTGTTGTGGGGAGGGGGAAGAGAAAGGAGTTTGTAAGCTGCTCTGAAACACCTTTGGGTGGTGAAGGGCATGGTATAAATCCAATCTCTTCCTCTTCTTCAAGTCCTTGAGCCTCCCAGCTGCTCTGAGAAAGGTCAGAACCGTCCAGAGCGATTCAGAGGGTGGCCCTCTTGGTCTGCACTAGAAGAGCTAGATCTGTGTCCAGGAGCACTTGAGAGACCAACCAGATTTTGGGAGCATGAGCCTTTGAGAGTCAGCGCTCCCTTCGTCAGATGCCAGGGGAGGGGGTGGAGTTTTTGGATGCCAGGGAGACAAGGCATGACAGTGACCCCGGGTGGCTCCTCTTCCTGCCCAAGGCCTTCCTGTCTCGCGTTTGGGGTCAGGGATTGGTGGTTCCTCTGGTTCAGACTGATATTAGGTCCTAGTGCAGGGGGGGGTGTCCTTGGCTAGGCTTCCTGGAGCCCCTAGAACTCCTCTTCCACCGGTGTTTTACTGCGGTGCTCTCGGGAGGAGAAGGGGGCTTAGCCATGGGGGGCTCCCTGGAGGGAAGGGGAGGGAGTTGTCAGAGGGTCACAGTAGTGGAGGTTGGACGACCGTCTTTCGGGTATGCTGTAGGGCTGTCTTTTGGCTCTGCTCCTGCAGAGGGCGGGGGGGGTTGGACTAGATGACCTGCAAGGTCCCTTCTATGATTCTAGAGAAAGTTGTGCTCCAGCCCTCTTTTCTCAGCCCAGAGAGACGCGAGGTGTTCGCCATCCCCTGATGCAGATTCCCAGGGGAAGAGAGCTGCTTGGGGGGGGGGGGGCTCTGGGCCTCAGCTGTGTATGGAAAGGGGTGGTCTTTTGGTGAGGTAGCCCATGGGGACAGGATGGGGTCAGGCACCCTCCATCGTTCCTGGGTCTGGCTCTGCCTGGGAGCCTCCTGCCCGAAGGACCGTTTGCCTTGCACTTGAGTTGGCTTTTGCTTCCTGGGAGCCGCAGTCGGGAGGAGCCAGTCTTGGCTGGGAAGTGGGATTAAAAACCCTGTGAAGGCCCAGCACCCAAGTCCACCAGAGGAGCACCGGAGTCAGTTGGCTATTCGGCCGGATAGAGCCATTTCCCAAAGAGCAGCGGGTGTATTTTAGCCTCCCGGATAGCCGAGTGGCCGGTGGAAGAGGAGCGCCAGGGAAGCGTTTCCCCATCGCCTCCCCTGGAGAGTCTGAGCGGGGTTCTGTCTTCTGAATCCTTCAGGAGTGCTCCTGGATGCAGCCCAGCCATGTGCAACCCGCTGCTTGGTGGCGCTGGGGCGTCTCTCACTGGGAGGTGTTTTTGCCGAGTCCTTTGCTGTTATGGGCAGCGGGGGGGGGGGCAGCTTGGTGTGAGCTGGCAGCACAGGGGCAGTGGCTGACCGGCTCTCCTGTTGTTCGTAAGGAGAGAGCTTGCCGTCTGCTGGCCTGCAGTGGGAGCCGGTCAGCGGGTGCTCTTGTGTGCCCTCCGGACTTGGGCCATTGTTAACTAACCCGGTGTTTCCTTCTGGTCCCAGATCAAAGATACCTGGCACCAGGTGTACCGGCGGCATTTCTTGAAGGGGGCCCTGGGCCACTGCAACCTCTGCCGCCGAGGCTTCTATTACTACCAGAGGCATTTTGTGGACTCGGAGGTAAGTGAAGAAACTCGCAGGTTGCCTAGCCACCGAAAGGAGCCTCTCCCTTGTTCGCCCCTTCTGAATGCCGCATGTGGTTTCAGGCTGCCCAGAATGAGCACTAGGGGGCCGTCTTGTCCTCCCACCGTCCTCTTAGTCCCCTGCCAGGGCGCTGCTTCACCCGTGGGATGCCTGTCTGTTGCAGCATTGGTTGCACGTCCCCACCCCACCCCCAACCTTCCTGCTGGCTTCCGGTAGTGATTCCTGGCGGAGGAGGGAGTTGGGCCAACCTTTTCAAAAGATGGGAATTAACGGAGGCTGGAATGGAGTTAACTCTAGAATGGAAAAATGACCTCTGCAGCCGGATAGCTGTGGGGATGTGTGAGATCTAAACGGGCTGCTGTCCTGATGTGCTGCTGGTGCCCCAAGGGCAGGGCATTCCATGGCCTCATGCCAGGTGTCAAGCACAGCGCCCAAAACTCCAAACCTGTTTATTCCCCTCCTGTAAGCAAAGGACACCTCCCCCCCCCCCCCACACACACACACACACACACACCCTGCCAGCACATTTTGCTGGCATAACTTTTCAGCTGCTGGGAGCTGCAGAGCATAGATGGGCAGCTTACGGGCAGGGCCTTGTGATTTGGTATCACGAGCATTATCTTACTTAGAAACATGCATTTTTTTTCTAAAATGAAAAAGACAATCATTCTGTTCCCTCTGAGGTAGTGTGAAGACCCTAACCCATTTCAGATCAGTGTGTTTTGGGGGTTGTAGTATGAACTATATAGTGAAAATGGGTTTAGATCCGTCGCCCTGCAGCCGGAGGTGGGGAAACCACTGTGCGTGTCCGTGTACAGCACGGAGGGGCTGCGTCCCCTGCCCGCTGTTTCCAGGGGGGCACTCTTGCCATTCCATGTCCTCGGCGCGACCCTTTTCCTCTCTGGCCCTTCCAGCTTGAATGTAACGACGTGGTCCTCTTCTGGCGCATCCAGCGGATGCTGACCATCACTGCCAACACCCTGAGGCAGCAGCTGGCCAACACGGAAGGTAAGGACTGCGCTGGTCGCTCTGCTTGGCTGCTTGTACCCCCACCCCCTCATGTTCTCTACAGGGCTGCTTCTGGGTGGGCGGGGGTTTGGGACTGTGGCCACTCCCTCGTTCAGCCTCACTTGGGGTTGGGTGGCTGCTGTTGGCTCCCTGGACTCATGCTAGCCTGATGCTTGGGCCAGCGGGCTGCAGATTCAGCCCAAAGGAGGGATCCGCAGGTGCTTGGCAAGACACACTGCTGTACACCTCCTTTGCTCTGGTTATGTGCTTGGGGCGCACCTGGATCCACGGAAGCGCCTGCCCTGGGCCTTGACCCTGGTGAGATGGTGAGAATGTCCTAAATTGGGGCGGTCGACCTGTTCCTTCCAGGGGCTCTCCAGTTCTGAACTTACGATAGATGCAGTAGCTTTAATCGTGAGTGAAGAGTTAGGGCCTGGTTTCCCCTGGCTTTGCTTTAAAAATGTTTTGAACTTGTTGCATTTTTTATTTCTAGTGAGGCGCCTGGAGAAGAATGTAAAAGAGGTGCTGGAGGATTTTGCGGAGGATTACGAGAAGAAGGCGAAGTTGATCACTGGGAAGAGAGTCCAGTTGGCCGAGGACCTGAGTGAGTATCTCCATGGCTCAGAAGCGGAGAAGTCCAGCGGCGGTACCCGCAGAAATGGGGCTCTTCCAGTTAGAGAGCCAGTTTGGTTGTAGTGGTTAAATGCGCGGACTCTAATCTGGGAGAACTGGGTTTGATTCCCCACTCTTCCACTTGCACCTGCTGGATGACCTTGGGCAAGCCATAGTTCTCTCAGAGCTGTTCTCTCAAGGACAGTCCTCGAAAGAGCTCTCTCAGCCCCACCTACCTCACAGGGTGTCTGTCGTGGGGAGGGGAAGGGAAAGGAGTTTGTAAGCCCCTCGGAGACTCCAAGTGAAGGGCGGGGTAAAAATCCAAACTCTTCCCTCTTCTTCTTCCTTCTGGGGGCTTTGCTTGGAGTGAGGAATGTGTTGGTGTTACTTTGTGTATTAATTGAAGCCGCCTCTGCTCTGGGCCATGCCACGCACGCAGCCTGCCCAAGTAGCTAGACTTGAATCCAACCAGATTTTCAAGGTATGAACCTTCGAGAGTCAAAGGGGCCCGTTAGATACCAAGCCTGCTAAAAAAGTTGTAGGATCAGTTGGGAGTGGACAAGCAGGCCTAATTTTATGGGAGATGACAACTTTTAATTGGACCAAATGTTTGGATGGCATTCGGGTAGCAAGCTTTTGAGTTGCACAGAACTCTTCTTTGAGTAAGCAATGCAGAAAAGGGGTCGTTTGATCCACCAGCTTTGGAATGGCACACCACCAGGGCACTCTGCAACCAGGGCACAGCTGGCTCTTCTTTTGCAGTGAACCAGGCGTTGGTCTGTGATTTCTGGAGGGGGCAGGACACCTCCGTTGGTGAAGGCAAAGATGGGCCCTTTTGTCAGTGTCCGTGGAGAAGAGATCCTAGCCATGGTGACTGAAGGGAAACATTCAGAGGCAGTCAGCCTTTGAATCCCAATGCCAAGAGGCAACCTCAGGGGAAGGCCTTGGCCTCCCTGCCCTGTTGTTGCTGGCCCTCCAGAGAGACTGGCTGGCCCCTGTGTGAGAGACGGGAGGCTGGGCTGGAGGGACGCTCAGTGGTCTGACCCGGCAGGGCTCCTCCGGTGTTCTGCGCACGGCGTGTGGCAGCAGTTGCGGCACTCCTCCTTTTGTATACCTCACTCCACACTTGTTTGTAGTCTGCGGTTGAGTCCTTGATTGGGACCATTTCCCAGTAAACAAAGCCTCTGTCCTGTTAGGGCTTGCCTCCTGAGACGGAAGGCTTGTGCTGTTACTAGGGCTACATCAGCACTCAGTTTCCCACTGTGTTCAAAGGGCTTTTTCCATGACTTACGCCGGGCGGCAGCTAACAGCCAAGGTGGCAGCTTGGATGCCCGAGTCTCTGGAATGTTGTTGGGCTTTAGTGAGGGTTCTCTATCCACAGAGTTTATGAATAAGAAGAAAAGAAAAAGAAGAGATTGGATTTATACCCCGCTCTTCACTCAGAGTCTCAGAGTGGCCTACAAACTCCTTTCCCTTTCAATGATCGATTCAGCTAGACAAAAACACACACACACACAAGCTGGTACGTTGCAAGTTAACACGCAGAACAGCAGTTCCAGAGAGACTGCGATTCCCGTTGCCCCAGGAGGGAGCCAGACGCTGAGTCACGCGAGGGGCCAGGTGGAGAAGAAGAAAAAGAAGAGATTGGATTCATACCCCATGGCCCTTCACTACCCAAGGGAGTCTCAGAGCGGCTTACAAACTCCTTTCCCTTCCCCTCCCCACAACAGACAGACACCCTGTGAGGTAGGTGGGGCTGAGAGAGCTCTGACAGAAACTGGCTCTTTTTCAAGAACAGCCCTTATCGGAACTATGGCTTGCCCAAGGTCCCTAAACCCGGTCCTCCCAGAGTAGAGTCCGCGCACTTAACCACGACACCAAACTGGCTCCAAAGCTTTTATTTGCTTGAACAAAAGGATATTAGACAAAAGGTGCCGGGATGACTGTTGTAATATTTGATGGCCATGGGGACGTTTTCCTCCTGGAGGTTCTGAGCAGCTTTGCTTAGCATCTCTCGTGCCCAGGAAGCAAGTCCGGGTGCATAATAAAGGGCCACTTCCTCTTCTCACCTGTAGGGGTCAGCAGGTGGCTGCCTTGGGAGGGTCCCTTTGGGGGAGGGAGAGAGCCGCTGCCCCAGAGGAGGGAGGGGTGTTTGCTGGCGCACGGCTGACCTCCCGCCGCTGTTTACCATTCTTCACCAGTTGATACTTCAGCGTCACCCAGGCAGCGGCCAGCGGCGATTTGAGCCATTTCGTTTGCTTCTCTGCGGCTTGCCCGGGCTTGCCGCCTCATTTCCTCTCTCCCGCAGCAGTTTTCAGTCTGTCTTTGTTGCAGATCAAATCCTTCCTTGCCGCCACATTGCAGACTTAGTCCTCCCTCTTGCTTGACAGTTCTTCGGAATGCGTCTAACACAGTGCAGGCAGCGGCTGCACTGGGAGAGATCTGTCAAGTGGGGCTTTTTACAGGAGTTATAAATTAATTGGGTAAGAGTCATGGTTGTTTTTGTGCCAGAGGTTTTTGAAGCCCCCTTGCCTCTGAGGAGAGTTGGAAATTACGGCCGGGGTACAACCCGAAGACCCACAAACTGAAAGCCAGGAAGGGGACCCTGCCCTGCACACTCTCTGGTTTGCAAGAGTCTTCTGTTGCAGTTGGCTTCCTGGCTCAGGGGCAATGCGAGCGCCTCCGGTTTTAGCTGTCTTGACCCATTTGCCTCGGACAGAGCTCGGTGTTAGAAGCACCTGCCTCTCCACCCCTCGGCGCCATCCTCTCTTTTTGAAAAAGCACAAAACTGCCCCGCTGGATCTCACCGGTGGCTCCGCCAGATCAGCCTTCCGTCTCTGACGGTGCCAAAAGGCTCTGATCCACAGCCCCTGAGTGGCAGGAGGGGAGGAGGGGAGAGGCAGGAGAGTTTTGGTGTTCTCTGCTTCCACTTTGTGTCATTCTCCACTGTAGAAGGTGCCCACAGTATTCCACAGATACAAGTGGAAAATCACAGGAGTGGGGCACTTTAACAGTCGAAAGGGTTTCGCCAACTGTCTAGCCAGTTGCTGTCCGATAATGGCCAGGTATGCAAAGCAGCAGTTTGTTGGGAAGCTCATGTCGGTGGTTTTGTTTGGGAGAGCCAGTTTGGTGTCGTGCGGGGACTCTAATCGGGGAGAACCGGGTTTGATTCCCCACTCCCTCACTTGCAACTGCTGGGTGACCTTGGGCAAGCCATAGTTCTGTCAGAGCTGTCCTTGAAAGAGGAGAAGGAGAAGAAGAAGAGGTTGGATTTATACCCCGCCCTTCACTACGCGAAGGCGACTCAGAGTGGCTTACAATCTCCTTTCCTTTCCACTCCCCACAACAGACGCCCTGTGAGGTAGGTGGGGCTGAGAGAGCTCGGAGAGAACTGCTCATGAGAGAGCAGCTCTGAAAGAACTTGTGACTGACCCAACATCACACCAGCAGCTGCATGTGGAGGAGTGAGGAAATCAAACCCAGTTCTCCCAGATTAAAATCCGCGCTCCTAACCACTACACCAAACTGGTTCTCAGAGCAGTTTCTGTCAAGAGCTCTCTCAGCCCCACCTACCTCACAGGGTGTCTGCTGTGGGGAGGGGAAGGGAAAGGAGTCTGTAAGCCGCTCTGAGATGCCTTCAAGTAGTGAAAGGCGGAGTATAAATTCAATCTCCTCTTCTTCTTTGTTGTTGGAGTTGTTAGATAAGTGTAACTCTCAGGCTGGGGCAAGGGATGCTCTGTCTTCTTGGTGCTTGGGGGGGGGGCAACAGTGGGAGGGCTTCTAATGTCCTGGCCCCACTGCTGGACCTCCTGGTGGCCCCTGGTATTTCTGGCCACTGTGTGACACAAGAGTGTTGGACTGGATGGGCCATTGGCCTGATGCAACATGGGCTTCTCTCGTGTTCTTATGAGTTGCAGGCCATAGTCCAGTGGGGATTTCCTGGTTTACACAGCTCTGCCATTGCCAGTGCCTGTTGCTTCCCTGGCTCAGCTGGAGGGTTTTTTCTCTGTGAAGGTTCTGAGAGGCCCCCTCGAAAGGTCCCTTGAGGACTTTGCCTCTCGGTCTGCTCCCTTGGATCCACTCCTGGATCGCTGCTCTTCCGCCCCTGGCCGAGGAGGCACCGAGTCTCTTTACCCCCATGCAGCAGGCAAAGGCACGACTCAGAGCAGGACAGAGCACAGCTAAGGGGGCAGCAGGGCCTGGTCTGTGTCCCGAGGAGGAAGGGGCTTCTTCGGGGCTGGGACCTCGTCTCAGGGAGGGAGACGTTGGGGATGTCTGCCGCCGCCCCCCCCCCCCCCCCATGGACAGACGTGGGTCACACAGCCCCAGGTGAGGAGGCTGGCCAAGGGAGGCTCCCAGAGGTCTTTGAAGAAGTGCCGCGAGCAAAGCTGCCTGCCCTTTGCTTAGAGCCTGTCTGGGAATGGATTGATTGGCTGAGGCGCAAGTCTGCAGATGTCCCCGCTGCCAGTCAAGCCTGCCCACTTCATAGGTCTCCAGGGCTCTGAGGAATCCTGGTTCCTGCAGGCTGTGTGCCACGGGGAGCCATTCCTGGTGTAGAGCGGGGGGGGGGGGGGGGGGGGGGGGGCTGAGGTGCAGAAGAGGCTCCTGTCCATCTCTCCTTCAGCTGCAGCCTCCTTTTGCATAGTGGTTGTGGCTCAGGTCCAAACGAGACGTTATAATCTCCGTGGGGTCTTGCGAGTTCCCCGTGGGGATTCAATTCAGAAGTGCTGCGAGGGCCCAGTTTGGTTTGTGGTTGTGGCGTAGGGAGAGGAGGGACTCGAGCCTCCCTCTGCCCCCCTCGACTTTTCTGGACTGAAACAGTATTACGTGCCCCTCCCCCCAGGTGCGGGGGGGCTGGATGTGCGAGCATATTCTGTGCACGTGCAGCCCCCAACCACCTTCCAGGTTGGCCAGCCCACCAGTTGAAGATCCTCTTCCCAAGCCACACTCTCCGTGCCCCCATCTGCAAAAGGTGACGCAGGTGGCTCCCAG